GGGGGGGGGGGAAAGGAAGAGAATTGAATCGAAGAAGAGAAAGTAGGATGTGCTACTTCGGGTTTGGCAGAAACACCACCTTTATATGGATTGGTTTGATTTTTTGAGAGTCATAGTCCCTTTAGCAGCCTGCTGTTTTCAGATGAAAATCAAACTTGGTCTGTGTTGTGACTCCTACCTGTTGTCACTTTGCCTGGAAGGAGGTGGATCCAGGTGTTGAATATTTAGCCTGCTAAAATACTCCTGAAGGTCATGCATGGCCTGTAGGTAATTTTCAGTGTGATGTTCTGTCAGCTCTGCCAAGCAGGTACTTTCATTCAGGTCTCCTCTGACTATACAACTGTCTGAAAGAACTGCTGGGTTTTGGCACTGTTTCCTATGAAGGAGGATGCTTTGTGAGCGCTTAACTTGTTATGGTAAACATGTTAATTGTGCCAGAAACTGCCACTTGAACGGTCTGATTTGGACTGGACACATTGACTTTTCAGCAAATAAATTCTGATGGTTTTGACAGATGAGACTGAAGATTCTCAGGATAAGATTGTCCTGCTGTGAAATTGCTAGTATATGAAGATATATTTCATTTTAATGCATGGATATAATACAGTTAAGCAGATAGTTTTTTAGTATTCAAAGAATTACTGTCTTTTTGAGTTGGCATTTAAGAATTTTTTCCCCTTATTAGTGCACTTAATTCAGCTTGTTTGCATCAAGGCATCCTTCAGCAATTAGCCTCATGTACACAGTCTTTGACAGCCCTCCGTTAATTGTTCCCTCAATGTTAAACAGCACTCAGATATGTTCTTGCCATTCCTGTGCTGGAACAGTCTTTACATTGAGAGAAAAAGCTCTTCAGAAGAACAGCAGGCTAAAAGTAGAACACAAAATTGTGTATTTAGATATCCTGACCTCTGCATCTCAAGGGTAGCGGTGTTAGCATCTGAGCTGTGGGATTTTTGTATTTCCACTGGTAGCTTAGATGAGAAAAGCTTCATTTCCGTCCCCCCCGTTCTTTCTAGGCTTGTCTGGGGACACAAGCAAGCGGAAAGCAGTCATTGCAGACAGAGTGAGTCACTGATCTCTTCCTAACTGGATTTTCATGTATGCCGATGTGATACTAACTGTGTTCCTGGAAGGAATGGCTTCTGTCCTCCATAAGTTAATCCAACTAACTCTAGAACGTGTACATGTGCCTCTCTTGCTAAGATTGTGAGTAGGATTTTAGAAGAGACTTGGAAATACCTTTTGGGTAAAGGTGGGGATAAAATCTGCAGCATTAGCAAATCAAAATGTGACATTAGCATCCAGGCCTTGAGATCTCTGGTCCCTCACAACGGAGAGAAACCTTTTCTATAGGTAACTCCAGAGTTTCCTGACCTTCGGTTGGCAAGTGTCCATCAATATGTAACTTGCTGACTCTCAGGATGGAAACTTTGCTCCATGTACACATGCACGTGGAATAAACTCTTCAACTGATCTTGTTCCATTGTTACAGGAACCTTTTTCTGGGAAGGATATGTTTAAAATACACAATTATTGCAATAATTATTCAGCTGTATTTGTTCTTCATGTATATTTTATTTGCAGGTAAATAAGTTTTGCTGTTTAAGAAACTGTAACTTAAGCTTTGGGTAACAACATGGCCCAGATGAGCCTTGTGCTTCAGGATGTGTTCATCTGCCTGAAAATTTGCTAGCAGACTGGCTGCCCACTTTCTTGGTCAGTTAAAGTTAGTGTAGGCTTCAGTATCCCACTGGGCCACTTCTATATCATGTCATGCCATTATCTCTTGGCAGCCTCTTCACTCTTCTCCTTCCTGCCCACAGTAGTTCATACCCAAAATGGGACAACAGAGTTTACAGTGCTGCCAGCCCCCAAGTCAGTCTATTAAATGTGCTACCAAGTAGGGCCTCTAGTGTAGGATTTGAATGAATTTTCTTGTTCACTGTAATTCAGATGGTTGAAATCCTTCTCCATTACGCTGATCGGACTTTGAAGAAATGTCCTGACCAAGGAAAAATCCAGGTTATGGAGCAACATTTTCAGGTATGGTTCTCCAGAGGAATCTCTTGTATAGATCTTTTGAATTTTTTAATCAGACTTTGCTTCGCTGCAAAAATTACTTGTCTATTTTTGAAAAATATTGCTGTGCTTCACCTGAACTCTCACCTCTGTTGTGTGCACTAATGAAATCAGGACTTAGTTATGGCAGAACCTGTACGCTCTCTGTCCTCTGCAGAAGTGTGGCTAGAGTTTTTCTCTATATGAACCAGCATACAAGAAAACCTGTAACCGTGCCAGCTACCAGCTGATTGAAATAACTCATTGATTTTGCTCTGTATTGGCCAGGCTTCATTTTGTGCTCTGCAGGATGTGCTATTTGGCAGGATTTTTGCCAGTCCCTATAGCTTTTTTATGTTTCTTCCACAGGACGTGGTGCCTGTCATAGTTGATTACTGTCTCTTACTCCAGCGCATGTAAGTCTGAGTTTGCAAGCCTGTCTCCCAAGGCAGACCACCAACCCCTGTAGTCCTGAGTGCTGTCTCCTGTAATATCACACGGTTTAGAGGAGTCGTATCGCATCATTGTCATATCATATATCACATCACAGTTTAGAAGAATGCTTAAAAACTGATACTGAAGTCAGGGTACTCAGTACTCAAAGAAAAGCATGTCTTAAATTTTCATTGATGTGTTGAGGAAGAAAAGTTTGCTTTGAATTGTTTCCCCCACACCATCCCCTTAAGAAAGAAGCTGCCTTGATAGATTTTCCTGTCGTAATCATTTCCCCTCTAACAACAGGTTTTTTGCTGCATCATCCATAGCCAATTTATTCTGTGTAGCTGCCTGTAACTTCCATCAGTGTAGGAGCTGAACAGGGCATTCAGCTCCTGAGTTTGAGAAATACAGATAAAATGGAGTTTAATTTGGAGCTCTCAGAAAGTAGATAAGTAAGGAGATTTTAATAAGATTATTTGATAACTAAACACTTCTTTCCTCCTAGGGATCTATTATTTAACCAGATATATGATAAGATGAGTGAGAATTCTGTAGCTAAAGGCATCTTTCTGGAGTGCTTGGAGCCATATATCTTAAGTGATAAGCTGATGGGAATCACAGCACAAGTGATGAAAGACTTGCTGCTTCACTTCCAAGACAAGAACAGGTTGGAAAATTTGGAAGCCTGCATTGTGCATATGGATATCACCAGCTTAGACATACAGCAGGTGAGCTGTTGTACTGCATACTGTATTGAGTTCCTCTGAATAAATGACAACATCCCCTAGTCGGTGATGCAAACTTTTTGTGCCTTTAAGCACAGCGTAGCAGACAGAAAACAAGGTGTCACCTTTCAACAGATAAGACTTACGTAGTCCAAACCATTCAAGCCTTTTGGTCACTAATTTGTAACAGAACTTAGCCTGGGATCAAGTTCAATGAATGTGGGAGTTATTTAGCGTGGCTGTGTCCATCCTGTAACATGCATGGTCCTATAGACATGTTTTGCTGCCCCAGTTTGTGTCCTGGCATAGGTTAATGCATCAGCAGCTGAATGCGTTGGAAACTAGTAGTCCGTCAGGATTAGCCTGATATTCACAATCAATCTTTCCTGTTTCGAGTACCATACCTAGCGTCAAAGGCTGCAGGGGCACAAAAAAATGGAGTTGCGTTTGTCACTTTGGTGCCTGCCAGCCTGCTCTGCTCAGGTGCTTGCTCTTGCATGACAAAGTTAGTGGAACAAGGAGGTGTTCCTGCTGGGTAGTCCTGTTTTCCTTCGCCAATTTTTATTCTCACAGCTTGGCTTTCCATTCCAAGGAGGGAACTGCTTGGGAACTTGACAAAATGATTCACTAACTCAACCAAAAGGCAAACTAGTGCAATCAAGGGTTTTGAAGAACTGATTTTTTTTTATTCCTTAACCTCAGGTTATGGAATGTTAGAATCTAGACAGTTAGATTCCATGTTTGCTGCCTGAGCAATAAACTGGAAGTTCCCTTTGGGGATTTGGGATCCTTGCAGAGACTAGTTCTGCAGAGTGGAAGTTCTCATTCTGCTTTAAATCATACTATCAGATGATACAAATGCAAGGACAGAGATTGTACTCGAGAGACTGGGGAATGAGAAAACTGTGGGCTAAGAGCAGCTGTATATCTGCCTTGTGCTTTGTTTGCCTTGCAGGTAGTTCTTCTGTGCTGGGAAAACCATCTCTACGATGCCATGATCTACGTCTACAACAGTGGGATGAATGACTTCATTAGTCCCATGGAGGTAGGAATGATGCTCAGTGCAGAGAGTTGTTATTTGTGTGTTCAGCACACAGTCTTTCTGAGAAACAGCATTTCAAACCCAGTGCATTATCTTCTCATTCAGTGTGTATATATTCTTGTTCTTTTTCATTTCAAGGGAGAAATCATGTATGATATAATGCACTTTATTTGACTAGGTGCAGTAGAGGAGAAAAGTAATTTGTAATTACTGTCTTTAGAATACAAATTTCCCTGCTGAGGTGGCAATGCTCTGCAAAGTTAGAGCAGGATATTTAGTTGTGTTAATAAAATAAATATAAAACAAAAGCAGCAGAAGAGAATAACATGATGACTTAAGGAGACTGCATTACAAAACTGTCTGCTAACAGCTTTGTTGCTGGTGGTGAGCCTGGCCTACGTGGCATGACGTGCTGAGAAAGCATCAACTTTCTTCACAATGGCATTAATGGGGGTGTAGGTGTGAGAGGTTCTATGAACACCTCGTGCTTTTTTTCTTTCATACTGTTCTTCCTTTGCTGACACAATAGTCTATTAATATTTATTAAAGAGTAATGGAAACAAAGGGTGAACTTACCTGTGTACAGAATTCAGAAAAAAGGCTAGAAACAGTCCTTGCATTGAAGCAGGCTTTGTTCTTAGCCCTTGGGTGTGATCTGTCAACAGTAAGCACAGGACTCCGTGTAAGGCTGTAACTGAAGGCCCTGTTGCTGCTGCTGCTGGTAATCCTGAAGATGTGCCTGGTACACCAATTGCTCTTGCAGCCTATAGCTATAACGTCAAGATGTTTCATTACGGAAGCACTGCTGGTATTTTCTCAGTAGTGCTGAAATAGAGAGCTGGGTCCATTTGAGCGTGAAAATCTTAAACTGCCCAATTTTTAGCAGTTATAATCTCGTTTGATTTTCCTCAGGAAGGAGACTCTTTAGGCGTTCATGATTTTAAAAAGGACTTCTGGAAACCTAGCACTAGCTGTACAAGTACAAATAACTTTTTTCTGCTTTCTAGAGCTAAGTATTTAGATGAGTCCTCATGCTACATGCCCAAACTAAAGTCTCTCTGGTGACCCTGCTAGGTAGGCTGAAGGTTTGTGTAATCTCTGGTGGCGGAAGATTCAGGAACAGGAATTGGGGCTGGTCAGTCATGCTCTGACTGTTACTTCTGGGACTACTGACCATTGCTTTTTCTAGTGTGGCCTGTGCTCAGGGTTAGATCTGATTGAATGAAGGCTGTTTTTTCATATATCATAACATCAGCTGGGAAGAGCATTCTTTGCCACATCTTGGTGTCCTCTGTGCCTTTTAATTGTAAGACATGGTGAGAAAGCAGAGTTTCTGTGGGGAAGAAGCTCCACTGATCTCTGCTTTAAAACCATGCAGATTCTTTGCTTTGAGCTTTTCCAGCTGCTGGAGCACTGCCTTCTTTCTTGTTACAGAAGCTGTTCAAAGTCATTGCTCCGCCACTGAATGCTGGGAGGTCTCTCACAGGTACAGAATTCTTTCCCTTTAAGGGTTTCTAGTTTTGATATTTGATGTTTTGAATATTTCTAGTCCCTTCCAACAGAGGGATGCAGAAAGGAAATACATACCCAGTATAAAGGTCTTGGAGAGCAGAGAAGTGTTCTAGTACTATTTATTGTATGTAAAGCTGCTCAACTTACTGTGTGTAAAACTCTGCATGTGTGTCAGATGAGATGTTTTGCTAACAGCTGGGAATAAGAATTGCATCTCCATATGTTGTCTTGTGAAGAAAAGGTGACAAATAATTTTTGTTTTGTAGACGAGCAGGTGGTAATGGGCAACAAGCTGCTTGTATATATAAGGTAAGGTCCTTCAGAAAGTGTGTGAGGTGTTGCCTAGTGGTGGCACCAGATTTTTGCCTCACTGTAGTTGCATAATCTCACAGTGTGTTTCAAGGTCTGAGAGATGGTGTAAAATAGCAATGGCTACTTTGTACGGCTGACTTAAAGTTACAATGGCTTCTTGTTACATACCGTGTGAGTGGATAGGTAGGATAAAGTTGGAGACTTAGAACTCAAGTTACTGCTGATATGCCAAGACCACGTCTTTATCTTTAGAATTCAGTTAGAGTGAGTTCTTTGTCCCGTGTGTGACAGAGTGCTCCTTGAACAAGGACTCCGTAGCTTGAAAAGCTGTATTTTAGCTCTTTCTGCCATGCCTTTTGGGATAGCTGTGCTCAGTTGCTGCTTACTGTGTTGCCTATCATTTGCAGGAGGTCATTCTGAGATTGCACAGTAGTGATTAATTAGTGAATTCCTCTTTCTGGAATCTATTCAAGATGGTGAACTTTAGATTCTGCATTACTCCTGCTTCCTAAAATGCAAGAGTAAAGATTTTTGTGAGAAATACTGAGTTTCCCTGTTACTTTTCTGCTGTGCAATGGTATACCCTGGATGCAAATTCATGCAGTGCATTGGCTTATTGTGTATTAACGGCAGTGCTGTCTGCAATGCTTGCTTTCATGATTTACAAAATAAATTTGTTCGGCTTGTTTTCAGAGCATCCTGAAAACTAATTCAAAAAATAAACTGTTCTCCTCAATCTGTTTAATGCCAGGACGTATTAAAAATGCCTTTCCCCTCTTTTTCTATAGCTGCTGCTTGGCAGGCCGTGCATATCCATTGGGCGATATTCCTGAGGATCTGGTACCTTTGGTTAAAAATCAGGTGAGCAACCTTTCGGAAGGAAACTTTCCCATATGAGGTTTTTAGAAGAAGCTGCGTATGTCTTATTTCATGGGTTTCTGATAGAAAACTATTATCAATCTGATAGCTGTATCCTTGTGATATGAGTATATACCACTCTAAATGCCAAATAAGTTTTTAAAGAGTGAAATCAAACAGTTGTTGCAATCTGAACATTTAAACTTAATATTTTTCTTTCAACTGTAAATTGGAGTGTGGGAACACAGAGTTCTTAGTGGCGCTAATTTTGACTGGTTCTTTTCCTTATTCTTTGCCACAAAGTTACCAGAAATTTGTAGCTGTCTCTTCTTTCTAAACTTGACTGTGATGTGTCAGATATGGGAGGATCTTCCCTGTTTTCAAATGCATGGGATTGACAGGAGTAGAAAGTGAGGTAACATCAAAGAACACTAACTAAATATTCCTTCCTCTGTTTGGCTGTCGCTAAAACTTCAGTTTGTGTTGGAGTTTTCCTGCCTCAGATATTACACCTCTGACCTCTTTGCACAGCAAAGTGTAAAGTTCAGCGCAGTCATTTTCCATGAGGAAGGTCCCATTAGATGCATTTCTGTCAGTCTTCGCCCTGGTGTCCTGTCACCATATCTTCACCTCTGAGGCTTATCCCAGTCTCAGGTATTCAGGACACACATGCATCTGTCCTCTAAGTGTAATTCCCGTGTGCAGGGTGAATATGTCTGCCCTACCACTTAAATTCAGGTCACATATCCACAGATACTTAGTAAATGAGTGGATGAGGTGGAGTGTGCCATGACTGCTGAGTTAGGTAGTACTAGGCAGAGTTCAATAGGTAGAAACGTCTCTGCTAAGTAGCTCTTGGTTGCAGGTTTCTCTAAGGCTTTTGATTTTATGGTCATAATTATTTTACTGTGTGTTCATGCTCATCTGTGCTCATCAAGACATTGTATTTGCTGAAGAGAAATTTCCAGCCTTGTGGAACTATGTGAACTGCAGGTGTTCAGCTGAGATCAAAAGAACATTGTAATCAAGTGCTCCAAACTGCGTCCTTGTACCCTTGGCGTGCGGGGTCAGCCAGCTACCTGTTTCAGTGGTGGCTGCTCCTCTGCCACTTCACACAGTCATATGTGGGCAATTGTTTGCCAGAGCTACTTAATAAGTTTGGGGTACTGCAACACATCTCTCCTTAGGCTTATCTTAGGAACCCCTCTTGAGAGCCTCCTTTGGCAGGAAGGAGGTTCTGGGGGTCACAGAACTGGGAAAGGGTTTAACATTAGCTGTCTTTTGGTACTTGGAGAGAAAGGAGAACGCAGTCAGTTCTGAACTTAAATGCCTGTATCCTAGCATTTGATTCCAGTTGATGTGATTCCAGCTTTTTGTATGGGGATTTTTGGATTGGTCTACAGCTTACATTCCTATTGTCCCTAATGTCTATGACTATATCTGTTGTTTGGACCTGAGGTGAATCTGTGATGGCTGTGAGGTCTGTGATTCAAGCTGTTTGACAACTCCTTCCCTTATGTCCTTGTTACTGCCTCCTGCCCACAGCACTAAAGGGAAGAGGCTTTCCCAAAGCACTATTCCACGGTGATGGTGTTTGGAAAGACAATTTCCCTTTTCCGATAGTCAGCGCCACTTTGAGACAACTTAAAAGGTAGCCAGTTTCTTCCTTCTCTTGAGAAAAGGCAGAAAGTAACCCATGGCTTGATATTCTCCCAAGTAACAAGCGATAGGACGAGAGGAGATGGCCTCAAGTTGCACCAGGGGAGGTTTAGATTGGACATTAGGAAAAACTTCTTCACTGAAAGAGTGGTCTGGCCTTGGAACAGGCTGCCAGGGAAGTGGTGGAGTCCCCCTCCCTGGAAGTATTTAAAAGCCGTGTAGATGAGGCGCTTAGGGCCATGGTTTAGTGGGCATGGTGGTGTTGGGTTGATGGTTGGATTGGATGATCTTAGAGGTCTTTTCCAACCTTAATGATTGTATGATTCTATGATTTTCCAGTCTTGTGGTGACTCTGTTAGGATCGTCTGCTTTCTCAGTCTGTTCCAGCTCTGGTTAGGAGGCAATAGGCTGGTACTACATTCCTCTTCATTCACCCATCTTGGCCGTACTTAGTTTGGGAGAGTTGGCCCTGAGCACGTCCAGCCATTCTGCTTATAAGACAGGATCTTAGCTGCTTCAGAAAAGTCTGTACCTATGTTTATAGACTCTGAAGCTGCTTGTTTTACACCCTGTGGACTGAGCATAGGCTGACTGCCCATCTCTCGTTCTTTTGTTGTTCTGCCTAGTCCCTCTAGGAAGAACTGTGACCTAACATCCAAATCACCTTCCCAGGGCACTTCAGGAACAGCAGCTGATGCCCTAAGGCTTCTGTGTGCTGCTGGTATCCTGTGACAGTGCAGGCTTACCCTACTGTCCTCTTTTGGGACAAGGTTTGATTCTTGAGCTTTCTCTTTAAGCTGTGTCTGAAGCTTGGCCTAAGGCAAAGCTTAACTCCTTTGGAGTCATCTCTGACAATATATTAAAACAGAGGATGCTCCTGATCATCATTTTGTGCTCATAAAACTCTTTCCTGAGTTTCTGGCCAGTTTTACTGCCAGTTTTGGGTCTCTAGCATTTCACTTCAGTTTCAGGGTTTCAGTAAGAGGAAGCACTTTCTGTTTTGCACTTTCTCTTTGCAATACAATGGAACAGATATTTTTTGGTTGTGGGGTCGTTTGTTTTGTTTTATTTTTTTACTAATCCGGAGCTTGTAGCTATATGTATGTGGTAGCTCTGGCTTACTGCAAACTCCTTCCTCCCAGGGTGTGCAAACCACCTGCTCCCCTTTGCTGGATCAAGCACTAGGCTGTTGCCCTCTCCCATGGTCCTTATCAAGTTGTGCCCTGCACACGCTAGAACTGGCACAGCAACAGACTGGCTCAAGGTCTGAGGAGAAGTGATAGCCCAAGCAACAGCAGAAGCTCTGGGGAGGAGCCATCAACGTCTCCTTTTTATGACCTCTGATAGTGGTCCTGAGAGCTTGGCTTGAGTAACACCTTTCTGTCTGCATACTTGAATCCGCTCTAGCTATACTCTGGGTTTTTTTGTTTTGTTTTGTTTTCTTAAGAGTTCCTAGCTGGCAGGTGGGTATCAGGTTCAAGAAGGCCAAGAGGGAAGGTTGTGGGTCTGAAAGTCAAGCTGCTAATTCCTCCTGGCTTCGCTGCCACTGTGGTGGCAGGGAAGTTAACTTGGAATAGGAGTAAATGAGAGAACGTGGCATTTCCTGAGGATGGCTAGGAGAATGTATTGCCTGTCGGTTCTCCATGGGATTCCAGTTTGTATCTTAACACATACTCGCGAGCGCTAGCCACTCTGCAGCAGTCTGCTCTCTTTCTGCTGGTAGCCAGATCTGTTGAGAGCATGTTTGAGACAACTGGAGCTGTTGCTGCCCTGTTCGTTCCCTGGGAGGGTTTGGACACCTCTGTCAGTGGTTCAATAAAAGGAGTTGCCTTCATTTTGAAAGACATGCTCAAATTTCAGGAACTAGAAAGTCAGTGGAGGAGATAAAGAGGTGAATAGCGCCTAAGTCAGTCTTTGCAGCGCCAAAAGCTTTGTGCCTCAAAGTGAGGGGCAGAGTGACTGGCTCTTCTCAAGGGAACTGCTGACAAGGAGAGGAGCTGTGCCCTGGATAAGGAGGAGTTGTGCAGCTTCTCAGGAGAGCTGCCAGGAAGAGGGGGGAGTTATCTGATTTCACACACTTCAGTCTGCAAGTATAAGCCTTAATTTTTGCTTGATCTTAAATTTTGATTGATCTTAAATTGGTTGGTGAGTCTAAGGAGGGGAAGTTTTTTTCCTACTAACAAGCAGCAGCAAACATCATTCAAGTAAGAACACTGATGGACTCCTAAGGTGCTTTAAAGCTTGAGTGCAAAGCAGGTAACAATGCTGTTTTCCCATGTGCTTGTGCTATCAGTTATCTGAAATCCATAGGAAATCTGCTGTGTTTGTGTTTGTATCTGTATCTGTGTTTGTTTGAATTTTCGTTGCAGGTCTTTGAATTTCTCATCCGGCTGCATTCAACTGAAGGGTCTGTGGATGAAGAGGTCTACCCTTATGTTCGCACCTTGCTGCACTTCGACACTCGAGAATTCCTGAATGTTCTTGCTCTGGTAAGAGATCTCCTCCAACAGAAAAATGCAACGCCAGTTCTTCCATCATCTATGTCATGGTTGCATGATCTGTAAGACTCTTACTAAAAAGTTCATGATTTAGCTAAATCAGTAGTTACTGGCTTGATGCAGGAACAGTTTTGATGTGTGTTCTATAAGATATCAGAGGAGATCATAATAGTCCTTTATGTCCTTAAATATAAATTGATGAACATGACATTATACAGTGAAGACTCTGGTAGCAGAGGCCATCTTTAAAGCAAGAATAATGTATTTATAACGAGTGTTTTAGTACCTACATCTTTCTCCTGCATAAAGATTCATCTTTCTTCCTTTCCAAATTTCTTGAATTTCTTCTGTCTATTTGGACGTGTTACTTTTACCTGAATATGTAAGAACCATTTTGGTAGTTACAAAAGAGCAAATTGTATCTTGGAACCTGCTGCTTCAGTGATATGCACAGAAGGGGCTTAAAAGCATTGTCAGCTTTGTGATATGGCTGCTTCTTTGTGTTTGCTTGTATTTCTGGGGTTGGCAGTGGAGAGCATTCTTCTCAAGGTGTCAGTGTTTTGCCTCATGCAGACTTTTGAAGACTTTAAGAATGACAAACAAGCTGTGGAATATCAACAGAGAATAGTGGACATACTTCTGAAAGTGAGTGTGCCTAAAAATTAACCTCTGTGTTTACATCTGACTGACTCTGTACAACGCTGTCCAGTAAAGCCTGTAATTTGGATGAGGTGTTTCCAGTCCTGTCCTGGATGACACCTCTGAGAAGGTGGTGGTCTGGAGCGTGGGGTCACCTCAGCCAAGGCTGTCAGTTGGATATTCGCAAGTGATGCTTCAAGGACATTAAATATGGTGACAGAGAGGTCTCCTTTCCTGTCTGTGATTTCACCTGGGTTGTACTTTGTTGTCAAATTTCTCCTCCCTGCACTGTTAAGTTTATTTTTTATCTGCTTCTCATTGATTCCATTCCCTGATTCCTTCTGAGCAGGAAAAATGGTCCCAGGAATCCTGTGCTTGGCAGGGTGCCAATGCTCTTCTGATAAAACCCTGCTCCCTGTATCTGTAAATGCTGTGTTTGGGGTGTAACATACCCAGAATGACAGGCCTATCTTTAGTAAATGGGAGAGAAGAGGAATGTCAGAGTTATCAGCCTGGTGCTCTAGAAATCACTTGTCATCTGCAGACCGTGTTCCTTAACAATGAATGTTCTCATTAAAAGCTATCGCTGCCAAATGCCATTTGCCTTCCCCTTCAAAGCTGTCAGCATTAATAATGAGTAACTCCACTTGGAAGCTGTTTATGTATAAACATATCATAAGTAGCGTTTCCCTGTCACTGTCATCATTGATGGATGAGAGCAAGGGCACCAGTGAGTGAATTCAGTGACGGCGCTGCTGCGGTAAGCTGTGTTGGAGGGGCTGAGATAATGGGGGAACGTCTGTGAGCCTGCCTGAGTAGGACGTTGCTGTAAGGATGTTAGTTAGCCCTGTGTTGGGTTAGACCGTGCTTTTTTGTGTCTTTAGCTGCCGTCAGCAGGAGGTGGCACACTGCAGCTGTGTTCTGGAGCTACTGTGGGATGTGTTCCTGTGGCACGGCGTAGGCTGGATCGAGCTGTTTACAGCCCTGCTCTGTGCTGCTGGCCACGTAGCAAATGTCCACCGCAACAGAATTCAACCCAGCTCTTGGAGGGGAAAAGGAGGGCAGTTGTGAGAAGTGCATCTGCAGGCAAACAATTTGGCGTTATGAGAACTGTCAGTCCCTTGGTCTGGAATCTGCTCTCCTTTCGGATAAAAATAAAAAAAAAATCTTGAACTTTTTATTTAAATTTATCATTGGCAAAAAAACCACTTAGGAAATAGCTGAGCTTTTAAAATAGTCTGGTCAACATAGATGTTCTGCTAATGCTGATCTAAACTTTGCCAAATATACCGTCTTTTAGAAAGTCCACGTGGTTGGCCTGCAGCCTCTGTAAGGTTGCTCTGTTTCAGAGGTACAGTATTTTCACCTTCACATGGACTGAGGAGGACCCAGTTTGTGAAAAACAAAGCCAAAATGAATAAAACACTCCTATTGTTTTTGAGAGCCTTATTTTTAGTGCGATTGGCTAACGTCATTCTGACTAGGCTCCTGTATGAAATAGCCTTTTTAAACAGAAAATGAACATTAAAAAAGAATGATAGCATTAGCTGATATTTCAAGCAGAGCTCTACTTGGTTCCTTAATTTGTCTTACCTGTCTGCCTCCACTTGTGTAAGTTAATCACTAGCATCTCCTGGGGATCTGGAACTCCAGGTCACTTTAAGAAAGCAGTTGTATCTCCTAAGCTTAGACTGAATGAGGTTATAAACTGTGAGATGCTCTGTGTCTAGGCTTTGCTAGAGCAATTCTTAAATGTTAGCTTACAGAGTTGTTCAGGTGATGGATTTCCTCCCAACTAAACCCACTGCTTTTAGAGAGGGACTCTCCAAACAGGGGCATTACACTTTCCCTTAATGTTCAGGATTTTTTTAGAAGCATGAGACACGAAGTCAGGTCACATCACGCTTGTTTTTTGTATGCCAGACAGGTGACAAGCACTTCTCAGGTTTCAAATCCCTTTTGTAGTGACTCTTAGATATTCCGTTTTTCTGTAATTTCAAGTCAAGTCAGCACAGCCACAAGTTTCTCAAAATATTCATAGACTAACAGCTAATTTAATGTGAGAAAAGAAGCTTTTCCCTGAACCTACAGTCGTTTCTTAGTCATTTGATCCGTTCTTCTGCATACCGCAATTGAAGTGGTGAGTGCCTGGGGCTTGAAGTCAAATGGTTTTTTTTCCTCCTATAATTACTAATTTTATCTTTTTTCCTCATGTGACAACATTTGTCTGCTCGGAAGCTCTGTTACATGTCCAGTGATGAGCACAGACTACAGAGATGGAGATAAACGTGGGTTTGGAGCCCCCTCACACCCGAAAATCAGGGACATGTAAGAATGCTTCCCTTGAGTATACACCAGAGAGGTCGAGCCTCTTCAGCTTTAGGACAGAGGTGATTTAGCAAGGACACATCCACTGTCTGTGTCTTCAGGTGACACAGTTAAATGCCATGGAAGGTGGCTTATCTTTTGACCTTCAGGATGGACCAGCACCAGGAGATTGTGTAGACCTCTGGGGTAGGAGGAGACATGATGGCTGTACAGGGATTTCTTGTTGCTGTGTCCTGATTGCTTTCCCAAAGGCAGCTGCAGAATCAATCACTTGTGTTTTTATTTTTCCCTTTTCTCTCTAATGCATCTCAGGTCATGGTAGAGAATTCTGACTTCACCCCATCGCAGGTTGGCTGTCTCTTCACCTTCCTCGCCCGTCAGCTCGCCAAGCCCAACAACACATTGTTTGTGAACAGGACGCTTTTTGATCAGGCAAGTATTCCTTTGTGAGGGGTCGAAAAAGTTTCAAACAGGGTGCAGCACCGTGAAAGTGTGGCTAGTGCTGTGGACTGAAGCAATTCTGGAAGGACTGGTGCATTATAAAACAGGTAGCATCTTGCTGGGACTTTCTTGTGGTTTCAAAGCAGCAGGGTAGGAGAGACCACAGAAGCACAGTAAGCTCCATATTTGAGCTTGCCTGCTGGAATTGTGTGAGAAGGAGGGTCAGGTCCTAGGAGATGGAACAGCCTCTGCTCCTCTCCATGGAATGGCAGATTCCTGTGATACCTAGTGTGTAAGGAGAGGGAAAGCAAAGGCCCAGAAGGGCTGTAACCAAGCTGTTTATCTTTTATCTTCAAGCCCTAGTGAGCATTTTGGTGGCTCTGTTGTCACTTGTTTTTTGTATGAAGATGCCAAGATAAAGGATGCCAGCTAAAATGACACTAGCGAGTTTATAGAGCTTGTATACGTAGCTGGTAATTTCTAGTTTGCATGTCCACTGTCCTTCTCTGCTGTTTGAAATAGGCTGATGTGCACCAATGCATGCTAAAGCTTGCACGGGTTAAGTTTATATCCCAGTTTAAGTCCCAGAAATTCCTGGGACTGAGGGGGTGACTTCAATGGCTACAGTAGTTGCGCTTTGATGATAATATGGGTATATGCACACTAATAAAAAAGGGGTTAGAAAATATATGTCCTTTGTCATAATTTAAGACCAAAGTCGTCTGTGGAGGCTAAATAGATCTGGATTAAACACCATAATTACAGATATATTACATTTTATGAATTACATGATTTCCTGTTTTTTCTGGGAGAGATGACACAGTCCAGGAGAGAAGTCGAAAGGGTCAGTGTAGTGGTTCCAGCTGTTTGGTGTGTGGTCCAAGGCAGGATCTTGGGGTCCCCTGAGTTCTTCTATATTCCCTGGGTACCCCAAAGTTTGGTTCTAGATCCTGGTGCAGAGTCATGGGTTTCCGCTGTTTGGTGTGTGGTCCAAGGCAGGATCATGGAGTCCCCTGAGTTCTTCTATATTCCCTTGGTTCTAGATCCTGGTGCAGAGTCATGGGAGACTCCCTGGAGTCTTTCAGCAGTTCTTGGTTACGCCAGTATTCTTAAGTGTCCTCAGTTACAGGACCAAGTGGAGAGTACCTCACAGATGAACAGCACATTCAAATTGCACTGTTGTGTTCTGATTTGCTGTTGCCATTATTGGTGCTCACAGTCTGCTTGTTAGGTTTATGCTAACAGCTATGCTAACTAGGCCTGACTCATGCTAACCTCTACATCCTTGCACAGGTCCTTGAATTTCTGTGCAGTCCAGATGATGATTCCCGCCATTCGGAGAGGCAACAGGTAATGGCCTTCAAGGGACCATTTCTTTAAGCACCAGGTATGACCAGACTGTAGAGCGAAGTCCAGTCTCATTGGGAACGTATGCTGGCTGAAGGTCCTATGCTAAAGCAGTCACCTAGCATAGGAATGGTGGCCAGTGTGGAAGAATTGGGCAGTGCTGTACACAGCAGGAGTGAAGGAGGATCCTACCCCAGCATTGCCCGCAGGAGAGGTTTGACAGCAGTAAGAACAGAGGCAGGAAAAGTCCTGGATAAGTGCATGACCTTCATAGTTAATGGATAATCAATTAAAAAAATCTGTAAAATAAGCCCTGTGTTAATACAAAGTTTAATGGAGCAAGAACAGTGTACTTTTGAATGGCACTGGCTGTCCAGCTACTACTGCAATGTAAATAACTGGCCTTCAATATCTGCAGGTCCTTTTAGAATTGCTCCAGGCAGGAGGGATAGTACAGTTTGAAGAGAGCCGTCTTATCCAAATGGCAGAAAAAGCAGAATTGTAAGTTGCCGTGTACAATATATAAATACTGCCTCTAAATCTCCTCAAAAGCTTTTTTCCGTCCACATTTCTTGCTCCTACTGTGCAGCTGTGTTTGGGATTCTTTTCCCTATGTGTTCACATATGCTTCATTTAATATGTTCATATTTAGTCCCAGTCTTTCTATCTTCTCTCTACTGGGTGTTCTTACAGAAAGCATTGTTAAGATAAGAGGGGGTAGAGCTGTGGAAACCCTTCAGCATGAAACCCTGTGGGGCTTGATGAGTTTTGGCACTTCCTATCCTAGAGCCCAGGCTTTGTTCAAAGGTATAGTTGTATATTTGAATGCTCTACCACTGACAGATGGAGATGACTCGTTGGGGTGAGACCCACAGGTGGATTTAAAAGCACGAAGGGGTCTGAAGCCACCCCCATGGTACTCATTTTAGAATTGAGTAGGAGAGACAAACACAGTGTCTGGAAAGGCTAAAAATTTCCACCATCTTCTTTAGATGCTTTACACTTCCAGAAAGAGTCCGCCATGCCTGAACAGAGTCAGCCAGGGAGGGACAGCTTCATCCAAGTCTTGAATTTGGATGTTATGTGAATTAATCCACTGTACCACAAAGGACCAGAGGGATAGAAATGCAGTGGTCGGGTATGCCATACCTGTTTTCCTGCATGTCCTAGAAGGCGTTACTCAACCAAACTTTTCAGACTCAAGAAATGCATTTTTTTTCTCCTTGCTTCAGAGAATTTGACAGCCAGAACCACTAGCTCAGCCACTTCTGTCAGAGCTAAAAGACCTATAGTGTAATGTTGTTTAGCAGACTTTTTATTTGTTTTGCCTCAGTTGGATCTGTTTTTATCTAAAGTCTCAAAATATTAAAGAAGTTTATTAAAATCTGAAGGTAGGAAGCTGTGTCATAACACATTATTGAGTCATGTTCAGCGTATTTCTTCAAATTAGTATTGTGGATTGGCCTGCCTTAGAGCCGAGTGTGTTATGGAATTAAGGAAGATGATCTATGAACAGCAGAACCTGTGAACCTGATTTCTTTAAGGATTTTTGTCCTGTCCCTTGCCTCTCACCTTAGTAACTTTGTTTTTCTCAGTTCTGTATGATAACCTCCCGAAAAGAGGGAGGTTGATAGGCTGATTGGCCTGTGGCTGATACTAAATGGCATATGTAAACTGGAGCCACCCAGCCTGTCTGCTGAAAACCTTAATGTGAGATACTTCCAAATGCTTTTTGTAAAACATGCTGTATTTTCTTTTGAGTGCTGCCAAACTGTGCCGGATTTGAGCTGCCTACTTCTATTCTGCTGACTTAGCTGAGCGAGTGTGTTTTTCTTAATGTGAAAAGTATTTTTCATTTTAGCTATCAGATTTGCGAGTTCATGTATGAAAGAGAGCTTCGCTATGACAAAATAATTGGCTGTTACCTGCATGATCCAGTGAGAAAGGTGAGTAAATCTGGTGCTTCTGGCCTTTCTTCTTCATAGCGGTGCAGCCTGTCCTGCTGGCCGGAGCGTGAATGGGCACACCAGCCCTGCTCTTCTGTCGTGCTTCTCTATCTTAAAAAGTGTCCTTTTACAGTTGAGTTTTCTTAGTTATAGTCAGGCTTTTTGTGTTTGTGTGTGTGTTGGAGAGGAGTTGATTTTTTTAAAGCTTCAGAGTTTTTTGTTTCTTTTTATTTAAACAATGCTAATACAGAAAACCTGAGTGCAAGGTGGGATTTATTGCAAATGTTGCTAACTGCAATACTTCTTTGTTTCTGCCATCAGTCCCCTCTTTTCTCCCCCCGGACAGAGTCTCTCTGTCCTTACTATCTCTCTGCAATTACCTTCTGCATGTGCATAAGTTGCATATCTGCCACAGTTTTTGAGGTATTCTCTTCCCTACCACCAACAGAAGTTGGGAGGAGAGTCTGGCAAATTTGATCACACCAGCTCCTTATGAAACTGCTATGCTGAAAGTTGTGTGGGTGAAGGAGTCAGAAGAGAGAGGTTGTGATAGTGAGATGGTCAAAAAATATGGTACAGGAGAGCATGTGAGCTGAGGACAGTGCAGGAGAACCTGGGGGAGAGGCTAATGTCGAAGAGGAATTCAGGAATATGCTGGGAAAACTGACCTACCCTCTGGTAGAGCGTTTTTTTCTCTGCCTATGCTCTTGGCTAAAGAGTAATGTCCTGTCCTTTTTCCCTGTGAGCAAGAGGGGGACATTTCTAATAGTGGAAGAACAATTCTCTTTGACCTCAGTGCTTAACACATTTAGCATCAATTCTGTTCCTCTTGGCTTTTTTTTCCTGGCAGTTCTTCAGGAACTATTTAGGGACATATAATCTCGCCTGCAGATAACTTGTCCTGACTTGCTAAGAGAGGACTAGCCCTGAGGTCATCCTAAGACTGTTTGAAATGCTCTCCCTTAGCAAAATCCAATGCTGTTAGTGGTGCTGCAGAACATACTGTACTGTTTATGGTTTTATGCCTTACAGGAAGAAGTTTTCAACTATATTCACAACATCCTGTCCATGCCTGGCTACAGTGCTGAAGAAAAGCAGTCAGTGTGGCAGAAAGCTTTGGAACATATAGAGGTACAGTCTATCCTAAACCCATGGTACCTGAGCTACTGCTAACTCCTGTTGGATCTGCCTAGTGCTGTTCTGTAAGTAGAAATGTCACAATTGCAAATCACAACTGTTTAGGAAGCTCTGACTTTAAGGTTTAGTAGTCTCATACATTAATATAAGTGCATCTCTTAGATTCAGGTTGGCCTCCTTGGTTTCCTGGTTTCAAGTATTGCTCTCTGGATAATGGGGCCTTATCAGGGGATGATGGCTAGCAAGTGTGGCAGGGAAGAGAACCATTAGCAAGTCTTTCATCTCCTGAGCGTGCAGCAGCAGCAAGGTCAGGACGTTGACATCACTGACCTCACAGTCTGTGGTATCAAATTCCTCGTCTTACCATGGTAATAGCATTCAACCTTGGTACCCCGGCACTTCTAACCTGTGGGAAGATGGGGTCATGACTTCCACTGTAAGACACACTGTTGCTGGACTTCTGTAGCTAATAACTTTTCCCATCTCTGCAATCTCTCTTTGCTTTAGGGGATGGAGGTGTGTCTGAAATAATTGTCTAGTCAGTCAACATGGGGAATTCATAACATCTCTAGTTCCTAGAAGGTGGTGTTAGTCCCCTCCAGGGTGATCTGGAGATAAGCCAGGAAAATAACTCTGTCTGTAAAACAAGCAGTCATGCCCAGACTACTTAGCAGCAAATGGCCACAGAAGGCTGTGTCCTGTGAGGTGGATAAAAAAGTACTAGGTACATTTGAAAGATACAGAATACTTTTAGTCTCTACCAGCATCTGCAAGTAGCGCGTGACTAATGAGAAAAGGGACCAAGAGGGAAAAGGATTCGAAAGACAATAAACAAAGAAATGCTGTGAATCCAGCTGTACGACTCGCAGCTCGCTGAGCTCACACCCACTCTCTAGCTGCACCATCAGAGCCTACGGGAATTGTTGGTGGTGATGGTTGTGCTGTGGCTGAGCAGGCCTGGCTCATTAGTACTTTATCAGAGCAACTGTGGTTCCACACTGGGCTTTCAAAGTTGAGCAAACTGCTGTCTACTTTGCTGCTTCCTTGTGTCTGCTTCATTCTTCTGCTGCATCCCTTGTCTCGGATTGTATTGGTATATACAGGCCAAATTGTTTGGCATGATGAGTGAGTCAGCCTCCCTCTGTAAGCCTGATTTTGTGTCTTTATCAAATCACAGGTGGGTCTCCTTGCTGGGTTTCTTCAGTCTGAGGCCTTTACAATTGCTGTTCCATGCTTGGGTGTCTCAGGACAAATCAGAAATGTCCTGGGTTGCCCTTCCTGATGTTCCTCACTTCGTTGTACTGGTTTTGATAAGCTTGTTGTAGGCTAAGACTGCCAGCTTTTCATACTGAGTTGTTTGTTTATGTTTTCTCAGTCTGGTGGAGCCACTTCTTGATTATTGTACAACATCAGAAGTGCCCACTGGCCAACTTGTCAGAGCTGCGTACTTTTCTGAAGTTGGCAAACAACAGAAAAAATTCCTCTCAATTTGTCCATGGTCATCCTTAAAAAAAGAGTTTCTTGCACTGTTCCACCAGCCTTGCAGGTAACTGCTGGCTGCTTTTACCCATGCTTTTTGCAGCTTCCTCCAAAAAGCTGCTGTGATTTCAGGTCTTTGAACAACTGTCCTTTCATCTGTTGAAGAAGGAAAGTAGCAAACCAGTCTCTTCAGTTGAAACTAGCAGTGTCTAGAGAGGCTTCCCTGGTGATTGTATGACAGAAAGTGGGGTTTGTGATCAGTGCCATCGTCCTACATACCTGTTGTTCCTTGATGTTTTTATCTTGAAAATAAAGCCCAAGGCTTCTCTTCAATCATAGTGCTGTTTGTCGTGGTCACTTTCTGTCCTCAGACCCACGTGCCTTGTGTCAGTACTGTCTCCTCAAGGGCTGTCTGCCGAAGAAGTACCATGTTTGCAAATCGCTCAAACCTAGGAGAGGATGAAAACCCAAGCCCAAACCCTTTTGCTCAGGGGTAGGCTATGAAGGTCCCACTGATCCAAGAGCTGCAGTCAGTTACAGGGAGGCTGTGCCATCTCCCTCCAGCCAGTCAGTCCTATCTTCAGCTGTCCTCAAGACTCCCGGGGAGGGTTTGTCCACAGAAGAAACAAATGAAGGCAGTCACACTACATCTGCATTCCTCTGCACTGCTGTGGTTAAGATCTTCTGGGTCCTTTGGATTGCCTGGGCTTGTGAGATGAAGGGGTCGTGCTCCTGAGCGCTGGGGAAGCAACTAAAAGCTGTGGCCCATGCTGTAAAACAGTGGGGTCAAACACTGCAGAGCTGCTTTACATACAGTATGGTAGGCAAATTTTGCTTTGGAAACCTCACAAAATGCACCTGATAGCTCTTCTTTAGAGAGCTTGTGGAGTAGTCACACTCTTCCTTGTTACTTCCTTTCTTCCCTTCACCCTGGTCTGTTGCTGGCATTGGCTGAATTTGGTGGCTGCTACATCTGTCTGGAGACCAAGCTAGTGCTAAGTAACTTTTTCAGACTTTTTTTTTTTCTTCCAGATGTATGTTTATGAAATTTTTCTTTCTTTACTACTGTAACAGTTGTTTTTGTTTAGTAAAGCAATGTTGTCTCCTTTGTAGGCTTAGCAGGTAACCCTTTTGGGAAGGGTTACCAGGTACCCAATATTGGTTTGAAGCAGTTGCTTCTCATTTATTTGGAAGCATTAGGAGCAAAAAAACTCGTGTTCTGGCTTGTGTAAACTTCTATGATATGAAGCCTTTTAGATCAAGGTTGACAGGATGCAAATCCACAGGCATCTTGGAAAATTTTTTCCTTTTATTACAGTAAAGAAATTACTGAGTTTTTTTCGGGTCTGGACAGGTACCAGTTATAGTTAACAGTTACAGGAAACCTGCTTTTAAACCTCTGGTTCGGTTCGGTTCAAGCCAATTAAACACTGTTTCCATTTGACTGGGAAATTCCCTAGGGTCAATTGAGGGCTTGGTTTCCTCTCTACTGCTGGCTCCTCGTTGGCACTAGCTGGCCTTGTTGGCAGGGGGTAAAAGGCAGTTGTCAGAAAACCTGATGAAATAATTTCATCGCCTTAGGACTGAGATGTGGACTCGATGTGAAGAGTTTTGCATTCTTACAAGGCCTGTTGTGTAGTAAAATCATCGACTTTCAAAAATGCCTTTTTACAAACTACCCTTCCTTCTAATTTTTTTCAAGATCACTTTTTTTGCAATGGTGTTCATTATTTTACAGCTTTCAACTAGGCAAAGATGCAGTTACAATATGAATGGACTCAGTGAAAATGCATAATTATATTGCCTATGAAATTAAAAGTAATTATTTTTGTTGTTTTTCCCGCTCTGAAGGAGTTGCTGTTGCTGAGCCCATGTAAAGCAGCCGACTTGGTAGCCATTCACTTCAGCGAGCAGACTGAGAGCATCGTTACAAACCTCCAGGTAAAGTGTCAAACTTCATTGATGTTGGTGCTTCTTTACAGCGGGGTTGCCATTCTTGTAAGAAATGATTGCTGGGAGTAATAGTAAGTTGTCGCTGTCTTATAAATGGAGGAAAAATAGCTTGATAGTTACTCAGCTGCAGGAATTGCTGCATTTAAATTGTTTGGCCTGTTTGTAGAGTTCTGGCTGTAAAAATGTGTGATCTCTGAGGTGCTGGTTGCATCACTTGATAACGCAGTTTTCAGTTTGGAGTTCAGTATGGCTTGCACTCAGAGATCAGACAGAGCTGTTGTCAGCAAAGATATCCTCTGAGTATTTATGCAAGACAAATGCCTAAACCAACTTCTTCAGCAGGCACCAGCCATGAACAGTATTTTCTTCAATGGATATAGTTCAGGAATCACTGGTTTATAGCACATTATGTAAAATAGTAATACTATGTCTCCTCCTGTTGTACAGGACCAGTTTTTACTCTTCCAGTTTCTGAGGAGTCTCCTTGATCCGAGGTATGTAAGAAAATTAGACCATTTGCAAACTACAGCTTGAAAACATGAGTTAAAAATAAATTCCTTTGAAACAGCCAACAGCCAAGTTTAGGGCTTGGAAAAGGGGACTTGCTCTTCAAACTGCACAAAGTTGAAAAGGATAGCACAGAAAGAAGTGTTCTGGGGAGCATCCTTTAGCAGAGCCCATGCCGGCTTCCTAACTGGGAAGTGGTGTGGGTTCCAGTAGGTGCAGTGTGACGCCTCCTCCACACTGGTGGGAGTTTGGGTGTTGCTGTAACAGCTTTTCTGAGAAGGCTGTGAAATGGTTACCCTGTGACCGAAATTGCCTTCTGTTCTCAGAAATAGCAGTTTCTGTTCTCAACCCACCGATTGATTACTTGACCAAGGTGCCCAAATTTAACATGAATAGAAAAGCATTTTGGTCTATTGGCATTTTTCATTTCTATCTTATTTCAGAATTGCTGCTGTATTTCACTGCAAACTTCTCTTTAACCGCTTGTTTGCTTCATCTGCTCCTGTTCTTTCAGTATTTCAGCTCAACAGAACCGATTTCTGTTGAATCAGTTTCAAATGCTACAAGACCTTGATTTTATTTATTTATTTTGTAAGACATTTATACATGCACAGCTCCAATTGCCTTCAAGCAATTGTTAATGCAATTTAAGGCAAGATCTTGTTTTGTCAATTAGCTACAAATTAATTGCGCTTTATGAGGAGGAGTAGGAAAAGGTAATATTATCTAAATTCAAGTGTCAATGTTTCAGTTCTTGTTGAAGTGGAATAAAAAGCAGGCTTTGGAAACTAGAACCTGGAATTAATCACTTTTTGGATTTTGTTAGGATGTACATTAGAAATAATAATAATTAAAAAAAAGACATGTTTTGTTATTTCCTGAGTTTTACAGCCATGTTTGTATGGAAGGTGTGAACTTCCACACCTATTTTGTTTCTTAGAAGTCAACATAAAATCACCATTTTGCCAAGAAAATATCTTGGTTGGGTTTTATAGGAGAGGAATTAGATTATTTGGTTAATAAATGAATAATTTTTTAAAAAAAATTGAATAGTTAAGCAGAAATGCTACCCAGCTGGATGTTAAGTAGGACTTTGTTTATGCTGTGATAGCACTTGCGGCAAGTGAGACCCAATGAAGGTAGTAATTAACCTGGGTTTTAATCCTATGCATAGAGTGGCTTCCATAACCTGAGTAATAAATGTATCTAATTTAGCTCTGCCATAATTAGAGCTAAATACAACCATTTCTCCTGTATTTATCTTCTAATCAAAAGCAACACATGATGTGTTCAAACCAGCAATAGGAAGCAACTTTCTGTTTCTGATCTTTCAAAAGATCTCTGCTTTTCCCTCCAAGGCTGATGTTCAGGAAGGTGCGTGGCTTGTCACGTTGTGCCGTGTGTCACTTAAGAAAGCTTATGAACCTTTTCCCTCTGTGTTCCGAAGTCCAATGATTCTCTGCACTGCAGTACAATGTTCAGCATCCCAAGTAATGGAGATAAACCGTGTACTGACTGGATTGTTGTTGCCAGAATACTCAATAAGTGAAAGATAAGTGGGACAGTTAGGCAGAAAAATGAACAAAATACTACTAAATACTTTGGATTCCCATGTGCTAGTGAGTGACCGTAAAGCAGAAGGTCTGCAAGCCCAAGGTTTTACCTGTTGTTATTAAACTATGTTATTAAACGATGTTGTTAGTAAGAAGTGTTCTGTAGAGATCCTAGATTGCTGGAGGGGCTTTTTTTTTTAATAACAGTCAAGGTCCAGTGGTCTGTTTTCAGTGCTATGAGGTTGTCTGCTTCTAAGACTATCGAACTGTATCCTGAGAGAGGTGGGGAAGGAGGGAGAAATCTTGCTATGCAAGACCTAATCTGCAGATATACCTATACTTTGTAAGTATACCTATACATAAAGTAGTGGTTAGGTTCTTCTGAAAACATCTGTCTCTTTTCAGTCAATCTAAATGTTTATATGCTTTTTTGAGCAAAATTCTTATTAAAATAAAGATTCTTAGAGCAGTAAATGAGCTTTTAATGTTGCAAATATGAATGATTGCTTGATCATATGGGGACAAGACTCATTGTTCTAGTGTAACTATCCTAGTTGGTGGAATTGCATTAGGGATTAATTTGGTCCATTTAATTTAGCTAGAGATTTATTTTAAAGGAGGGGAAAGGGGGAAGGGAGGAAACAGGGTTAACAGAAATTGCCTGGGGAAATTAAAACCAAATGTCCGTATGTTTGTATCTTATAAGCAACCACAGAAAACAGAGAATGTAGTGTGTATTGCTCAGCTCATTAATCACAGCCTTTGCTACATTTCCATTTTAAACGCTTAAGCTTTTTCCTCTAAAAAAACTAACGCAGTGAAGCATGTCTGTTTGTAGCATGTGTTTGTGTATTATACCAACAATATTAACTTATTTAGCAATACAGCGTTCTGGGTCTATAAATGTATTAACAGATGCCTAAACTTTCAGGTTCTGTTAACAATGGTTCTTCTCACTGACCAGCTACCCGTGACACTCGCAAGGCTCTCTTGTGCCAGGTTTTGTGAGAAACCAGTGATTAGCTCTTCCTTTCAGGAGTATGGCAGGGGAGATGTTTGGCATGGTTGTATTGGAGATGAACCTGATCAAGCTGAGCTGAGCAGGAGCTGCAAGTCTCAAGACTGTTGCTTAGTTTTTAACATTATCAAAATCCAGCTTTCTTTCTATTCTCTCTTAAGTGAAATGGTTAAGGAAAAGGTCGGCTTGCTCATGAAGTCATGAATACTAGGTGCCAGAGTTATTTCCAGATTAGAAGTTTGTTCTCGTACTAAAAATGTATGACTTGCCATTTTTCCCATTTTGGTAGACAGAGATAATTTTAGATAGAAAGTGCTTCTTTATTTTAGTCTAATTGCAAAAAGAGTAGAACACACACTCCTTTACAGATATTGGGGGCGTTTATAGGGTGTGTGTTGTGGGAGGAGTGGATGGTGAATGCAGGAAGCCAGAATTTAGGGTTCTTGTTTGGTCCTTCAAAAGTCCATTCTTTATTTCATGTCAGAACACAATAGTTTGGATACCAGTTTTTGTACAATTGTGTCCGTGCTTTGGACACTGTGATCAGTACCTGCGTGAGGCTTTCATTTCTGGGCAAATATAATTTATAATCAAGTGATTGACATTGTAATCACAGTAAGCTTCTTTTGGCTTGCTAGAGGCACAGCATTCTCCTGGCCTTTCTTGGATGATAATAATCCTGTTAGCTCTTGTAGCTCCCAGGAAATATAGGATCGTATTATATATCAGACCTTTTCCATCCCATGGTGGTAGGGTTTGCACATCAATGCATCTTCTCCTGATTAGGAATTTCTGTTCAGAAAGGTAACGAAACTAAATACATACCTTGATCTGTTTTCTTTCCTAGCAGGTTTAAGAACCGTTTCCTAGACAGGATAAACTTCTGCTCTTTCTCTGCACGATGTATCAATCCTAGAACTGCCACATGAAGTTTAATTTACAGTGGCGGTGAACTGCTGTTCATTTTAAAGGGTTGCAGGTGCTATATCTGTCTCTAGGAAAGTATCATCCTTTCCATCATAACTTTTTGAAATCTCCTGCTTCGTATTGCTCTTTTTAAAAACAAGATCAGTAGAAAACAGTCAGGACACAGGGACAGTCATGGGCACCGCACGCAATTCTGTTCTGAAGTTTAATTTACAGTGGCGGTGAACTGCTGTTCATTTTAAAGGGTTGCAGGTGCTATATCTGTCTCTAGGAAAGTATCATCCTTTCCATCATAACTTTTTGAAATCTCCTGCTTCGTATTGCTCTTTTTAAAAACAAGATCAGTAGAAAACAGTCAGGACACAGGGACAGTCATGGGCACCGTACGCAATTCTGTTCTGTTTTGTTTCCCCCAGATTAGTTTACTTAATAATAAGCCAAGGGATTAGGAAATGGCCACTGCACGAACCACTGCAGTGCCAGCAGCTGCTGCTGGAAAGGAATTGGAGAAATCCTTTTTATAGGGACATCTTTATTAAATGAGTTTAATTGTACTCTGAGCTTCACCTGCAGAAAATACCTCAGCTAGAATCAGAAGGGAGGCCTTAATTCCAGCTGAATATGGTTGAGTAGTGCAGCTGCTTGCAAAACCGTCGAGAGAGGATGCAGCCTTTGGCTGAACAATATGCAGGGTCTCGTTCAAAACCTTACAGCTGGCGATCTGCTCTACCGATGACCATAAAGTGCATAGAGTTATTGCCTCTGCAAGAGCAAAACCCAATTCACCAGTTTTGTTCTGTCTGAGAAGAGAATAAATAAAAATGAGGATGTTTCTCTAACAGAGGCATGAAGTCATATCTCAATGAGGTAGATAAAAGGAATCATATTCTAGCAGACGAAACATTAAAATATGATAAAGCAGGTCAAAGAAGAATTTCAGGAGCAATAAGCAAAAGGCAACAAAATACTTCTTCAGACACAAGCAGAGAAGGTATATAAGATGATCAGCATCTAAAAAGACCACTCGGACCATAAGGCTTCATTGAAGAAATTAGATGAGTTCTTTGTACCTCTTTGCTATAGTGTTGCTGAAGAGGTGTCTGTGCTGGAATCTTTCTTCACAGGGGTCTTTGATAGTGTAATTTATACTGAGGCATCAGTAGAATATGTTGTGGAACAAATGAAATGCCTACTAACGGACATCCAGCACCAGTAACTAGTAGAAACAGCATAATTTTTATCCTACAACCAGATTTTTTACGTCTGTATTCAGGATAAAAGACAACACACAATTGAACAAGAAACTCTTCTTTCCAGCCAAACTTATGGGCTAGAATTTGACTTGAGTCTCCTGTGCCGTTTTTATTCCAGAGAAGGCATTAACCAAGACCTGATACACTTACCGCCCCGCATCACTGAGCAGTTCATTGAGCTGCTGTGTCAGTACAGCCCAGACCAGGTTTTGGAGACGCTTAAAGTTCTGGAATACTGCAGACTGGAAGAAACCATCCAGGTAGGGAAGACATGTATAAGGACAGGGGCTAGGGGAAGCATTCAGATCAGCTCCTACCTCTTTAAAGTACTGTAAAAGTGCTTTAGCTTAGGTTGAGGATTAGCTCCTGGATACTCTTCCCATCCATTTCCTACACTGTTTGTCCCCTCGGGCTGCTAAACTGCTCTCCTGCAGCACGGTTAGCTATATTTAATATACTGATTCTGAATTTAGTCTCAGGGCTAATAAGAAAAGGCCACTAGTGCACGGAAGCTACTGAGTAACTGCAGAATGCAGATTGGCTGTGTTAATTTTGATTAATATGCTGAAGGTATTTGAAATCATGGACCTGGGGTTTTTGGAAAGCAATGCTGCCAAAATTTGACTAGCGCTGGGAGAGTGACTGTTTCTTCCCTTTATGAAAATTTCAGTGATAATCTGCCCTTCATCCCGATTTATAGAGGTTGTTTGTTTTTTTTTTAAAAGATTTTAATGCTGGTGGCAATACTGCAAGTTGAGAAACAAACACAGTATACCCAGTAGGAGGGGGAAGTAGGAGTGCTCAGACTTGGGTAACGTGCCTGTGAACACATGGAGACACAATCCTTTCTGGCCATCTGGTCATCGTTGTCTTGTGGAGAAAACAAACACTGGCAGATTCCTTGAGATAGACGTTCACCTTTTTTTTCTTTTTACTCAGATAACCCAGAAACATCAGCTCCATGAAGCTTCTTCATATTTACTGGAGAAGAAGGGAGATATCCATGGTGCCTTTCTGGTTATGCTTGAGGTACTGTACATTGAAATCCTGAATGTGGCATTTTTGCCATGCCAGCATGGCATGACATGCCATCAGCATGATGGCGTATGTTAAGGTTTGATATTGTCATTGCTTCTCAATTTGTTTCCACTAGAATCCATGGAAGCATTTAGCTTCTGTCAAATAACAATATGTTGTCTGCAGACTCAGCAGATCAGTGTATTTTTCTAGCCTGTCTACAAGCAGTAGATAGTAGTCATCTAGTAGATAATAGATGCTGAAATTCGTTTTTCTTAATCAAAAATCATCTTTCAGTTCCTGTTTTCCTTTCCATATTTGGAAAGACATTTATGCTATGTTAGTCATATTGGGGAAGAAAACGAGGGTAAGCCTCTGCAACCATACCTTTCAAAAACACTTCTATCGAGATTCTGCAAGTTTACTGTTCTGAGTTCTCTCTTTTGTTTCAGCGATTGCAGAGCAAGTTGCTGATGCTTACGCAAGATGATGAAAGTAAGAGTTATCAAGTTAAATTCCATTTGCTACTAAAAAGAGAGAAACACAAAAATGTAAAGTGCCTATGTCTGACACCTGGCATAATGAGATCCTCTTTCAGGTTTCTAGGTACTGCGGTGACATTTTTCAAATTTATATTCACATGGCTGTGGGAGTTATTCTGATGACACTTCCTTACTCTTCCTTTCTAGCAGGATCAGAATAAACAAAATGAGATGGACTTTTGTGTGTGGTCATCTGCTCTGTTAGCTCTTTTGATTGTGACTGGTACTCTTACTGGCTTACCAGACACGTTTCCTATGTTAGAATCCGTTCAAACTCATTACTGAGCTTTAGCAGGCATTATATATGAACAGCGATGAGAGACATCTGGAAGTAGCTTTTTTTGAAGCAAACTTCTCAGAGAAGTAAGAGTAAGAATGTTCAGCCTACAGAAAATGAGTATATGCAGAGGTGTACTGTTCACTAGCCCAGGGACTCATGGGCACCTAATTAAATGCAGTGCCCATATTTGTTACTTAATTGTATCCTAAACCACATCTAAGATCTTCCTTATTCAGTTACATGAAATGTTTTATATGCCCAATTTATTGTGCTATTCAGGAAAAGTGTCAAAAATAAGGACCTGTCTTTATAATTTAGTTGCTCACTGCAGTGAACAGATTTTAGAAGAACAGCATGGTTTTATTTTGCAGGATGATTGGGAATTAACATATCTAATGTTTTTTATAATTGCAATTTGTTTTTTCCCCCCAAAACTAAGGCTCAGCTGTACTCCCGTTGCTAGAAAGCATTGAAGATACTTTAATGAAAACAATTGCCCTTTGCCGGAGGAATTCACACAATTTAGACCAGCAACAGCGAGAGGTAAGGTAAAATGTATCACTAAAATCAACACCAAAGGCTTCTGCATCTCCTGAAACTTTCTCTTCACGTGCTTCTTCCTTTCCTCATCTATTGGATACTGATATGTCTCAAGCAGTCTTGTTTTCCTCTGCCTTGTGTTCTTCTTGCAGTGCTTCAGGTTTCAGACCCACAAGAGAGAAATCCTCACTTGTAAGGATGAAGCACAAAATAAAGTGCATATCAGCAGTGGAGAAGCAGATGAGACAACATCCTTTCCCCCATTTTTAGCTCCAGTTGAAATTTTGGCTTGAGTGTCAGTCACACACTAAAGAAGGCATAGTAAGGTTTGAGCCAACTTTATGGTGGCACAACGTTGATGCTGCTGTCACTGTGGCTGCAGAATATTGCTGTTCTGAGTATGTTCACAAATCCTGAATTTAATGTCAGCCTGGTCTTTGAGGGGTGGAGACAACATAGCTTGCTTGAGCTCTTGAAGAGAGAACTGGGTTTGCTTGTCTGCTTGTACTGAGGTTGCATTTCCATTTTGCCAACGTCAGTGACATAAAAGGCATCTTTACTCCTAAGAGTATGCCTAACTTCCGTAACTGAACTCAAAACTGAGAACGTTGTTCCCGTGTCTGAAGAGGTAGAATGTCTGGAAGTCAAGAATTCTGTAATTTCTTCTTAGCACTGTCCGGTGTATGGGGTGACCTGCTCGGTTTCTTCTCTTAAATGATCTTACTGTGCAACAGATAGCTGCTGTGTTTTATTGAAGAGGTGTCTGCGTGCACACCCTGAGTGCTTATGGGCTGCCTGCCTAATTGGATAGATTTGAGTTAGTGTTTCCTCTCACTCTGCATCCTGTTCCACCTGCTGGAATTGCTTCGTTGATGCCCAAGTAAGATTTGACTCTGGTCACCAAGTAAAGGATCGGTTTCCTCAGTACACTATTACACGAATTTTCACAACTCCTGTTTACTGCCTGGAGAATTTAGATGCCTCCAGTTGGGATCCATTTACTGTGCTACCTGTTCTGTAAGCAGCCTCTACACCAGAGAGTTTGCATCTCACATGGAGAAGTAGTTGGGGACTGAATGAAGTAAAAGTAGATTTCTTATGTTACCACAATTCCAGTAAAGAAACAGGTGAGAATGGAGAAGAGGGAGCAACAGGAGCCAAAGGTCTTCTGTGCTCAGAGCCCAATTAAATAGTATCTTAGTCTAAGATATGAGCAATCTAGGCTGAAAGCAGATCCCTAAGTGCTTTGCTCTGAGGTTATTTTAATATGTTTCAGTTCTGTTCCATTGCAGTCGTGAGAAATGTAGTTCAGTTCTTCAGAATGTGGAAGTGAGTCTTTGGAAATGGACTCTGACATTGGTCGCAACTCATTTTTAGTAGTGCCGTGTTCTTACTGGTTTTTTTCCTCGCATTCAATTATTTCAGGCCCTCTGGTTTCCCCTGCTGGAGGCTATGATGTCCCCACAGAAATTATCTGGTTCTTCACAGTGTCGATACTCCGAATGTAAGTATTTTGGCCTTTGAGACCCCAAATATTAATCAAAATCTGTGTGCTGTCTCTCCTTCTCTACTGAATGAATAGAAGAAAAGCAGTTTTGTTACTCAATTCCTAAATTCACTCCTCCTGCAGTAGATCTGAACGGCAGTGGCTGTAGGGCTGAGCTCAGGTTGGGCGTTTGGTAGGCTGCAGCTCTCAGATACCTTTTTTTTTTTTTTTTTTTTTGAGTCCTGAGTGGAAGAGGAACCCTACCACAGCCTCTGCTCATGGGCTGGCTCCATTGAGGGTGATCTCTAAGAAAAGGCCAAGGTGCACAGTGTGTACAAAGGCTTTCTAGGTTGTAAGTAGGCTGCAGTCTGTCCTTTGGGAACTTCTGACATAATACACTGTCATCTTCCACGCTTAGCTTTTTTGTAGGCTTATCCCTGCACCTGTCTATTGTAGGTAAAATCAGTAGAACTTGAATACACCAGCTAAATTCTCTACTCCAGTTCTAGTGCCCTGAATCTGTTGTGGGTGTCAGCAGCACATCTTGAAAAGCCTCCCTTTATGGGACACTTAAGACTAGTTAAAAAGGGGCTTAGATACTGTGGTCTTGGGGCAGAATAATGTCTTTTGGTCCATTCCAGCCCTGTGCTCCACAGTGATTGTAGTTGTGCGTGGTTAAGGATCACAACTTACTACAGGTAAGTGTGATGGTGATCATGCTGTCAGTCCTCCCTCTATTTCTTTCCCTGCACTGACTGTTAGCTGTATCTGGACTCCTGGGGATGGTCCTGCGGAGATCAGTAACCCAAAAATATAAATCACCTCTCTTCCCTCAACTCATCTTTTCCTTTCCTAGATTATCCATTTTTGGGAGCTAATGCCTGCAGAAAAGTAATCATCTGAAGTGATACCAGAAATGATGAGGGGATAATACACTTGGATCCTGCATAACTATTTTGTTTTCATTCCTAATGTGCATGCTTCCCAAACTGCTCTAACTAGCTAATTATCCCCACAAAGGAGCTGAATTGCTGGGTCCGTGCATATCTCAATATTGGCTCTTACTTTGGGGAACTGGGGAACTGGGGATTGAGGAACAAGTTTCATGCGAAGGTTAATGCTAGGAAGTTTTAAAGTCTGTGGGACTATAACATGGACAAGGCATCCAAACTGGTTTTTGGTAGCAGTAGGAAAAGTGAATGACAGTGCTACAAAGTCAGTCTCAAAATGTGAACGTTTACTGTAGGTAGGGTGTGGGAGGGGGAGAGGCATCGTGGTGTTGAAAACTTTTAAATATACTTTCTGATACGAAAAGCTGCGTGTACTTAGTGCAAAGCATGTGCAGATGAAAAAAATACAAAAACTGTTTTCAAACTAGAAAACATGAACTGAAATAAAACTCTTGTAATCTGAAAGATTGATCTCTCTTTACTCCTTGAATCCTAATGAACTGCTGGTGGCTTTTATGTTTGGTATTTCAGCTTTGAAGAGTTTGACAATGCAAGTGCTGAACAACATGGCTGCATTTATCGCTCTTCCTTCAATCCTGCAGAGAATTCTACAGGTGAGTTTCTGAAGAGAAGCAGCTTTTACCAAGGTGTGCCACTCAGTTATTGGGGAGAGCTGAACACATTCTGGATGTGATAGCAATTACCATGTCGTTAAAGATCAGATCAGCTAATTGTCTGGTTCAAAGTATTTCAGTGAAAGTTCAGTTGGTGAGATACAAGTTGGAGGAGCTGATAGAATGACCTGGAAGACTTGACGCTCTGAGGAGACATGTAGGAACACATAGACCTGTGAGAAGATAATTGGGGTAATTTCTGCAAACCAAATAAAATATTATCTCAAAGGTTGCAATTACTTTGAACTTGAAACTTAGCAGTGTTAGGGGCAAAGCCACTGTGAATTTCTCAAAACTTGGAACTAAATTTGTTGAAAGCCATTTAGCTAAGGCACTGGGATGGACAGTTGTGAAAACACTAAAGCAAAGTTTGTAGGCTTTGGAGAAAGAGATCAAGCCTTGGCCATTTTGATTGATGGTGCAATGTATTATTTTAGAGATGTTTGTTAGTGAGCAGCAAACATCTTGTAGAAGAGCTGATGTCAAAACGGGATCTTGGGTTGAGTGATCACAAGCAGATACGATTTTTTAATTTGCAAAATAGACGAAAGGTGAGGTTGGGATTTAATAGCAAACCTTCAGAAATGCAGAAAATTAGAGAAATTGTTTGCATTGTGGAGTGGAATGATTGAAGGGTTGAGAAAGTGTTGAATTACTCTTTGGGGTTTCTATTCCAGATGAGAGAAGAAAATGTAGAAAAGGGCTCACAGGCTTCACAAGGTGAACACACACCTCTAGCAACCTATTAGTTTGATCTTAATATTATGCACAATCCTGGATTTTGGAAAAAATCATAATTAAAGACAATGAAAAATGTTGTAAAAGAGTGGATAGAAAGCATGATCAAATGAAATATGATTTTATCGAAGGTAGAAAGTGTCGAGCAAACTTAATGCCTCTTCAATAACTTATTTTGTCTAGTTTTAACTGAGGCATTAGATATAGTTTCCTATTGAGCTTTGTTTGATGTTTACTGTAGGCAGGAAATGATACGGAAGCTGTGAATGAATAAGTGGGGAGGTTGATGGGGAGGCTTTCCTGGATTATGTTGAGAATTACCAGAATGGGGCGAGAGGCAAACCAGCGTCCACTGTGAAGAAAACACAGCTGGGAGGTATTACAGTGTGGAGGAAGATCCTGTTGTCCCTTGGGAAGAATAGAAATTCTTGTTTGCAGTCTTCAAATATTTCATCCTACTTCTGTTCTTCCGGACTTTTTTAGGAGAAATAGAAAAACCCTTTTCTAGAGGCTGGCATTCATGTCCTGGAGGCCACAGAGGAGTGAAATGTATTTGTCAGTTGTACAGGGAAGTGGTTGGTGTGATGGCACTATTGCAAAGGGTAATGGGATGCCTACGGTGCATCAGGTGAAGTTACTTTTCCTAGGGACAGAAATGTGTAAGGCATTATTTAAAGCAGCATGTGCAACTCTGGTCACTGGGTTTGGAGGCAGAGGGAAATTGCTGCTGCTCGTTCCATTTCCCTGGTCAGCCTTACAAATTCAGTCTGATAAAACAGAGATTTAAAAAAGCAGATGTTTTTGTACAACTAGAGCAAAAAATGGGGAGAGATGATGACTTCTTAAAATGCATTCAGAGAGGACTGAATTCCAGGTAAAGAACATTAGTAACAGAACTTCATAAAATAGGAATAGTAATTGGTACCTTGTGGCTCAGAAACAGGTGTAGGGAGAATAGTGTCGTAAAACTCATTAGAAGATCCTATGGAAGGGAAGGTGGTATTTATTTACAGGATCTCTAAATAAGTTGACTTTGCCTCTTAACACTCATTCTTTTATAGATTTCATTCAATCACTCGCACTCACGTATTTGCAAACACCTAAGGTGTATGGGAATGAGTGATCTGACCTGGATCATTTGTGGGCAGCAGAGAGGGTGTCACCCCTGACTGCATCTCTGGGGTTCCTCTGATTGATGGTGACAGCTTAGCTTTGGACAGCTTAGTTATGTCCTTTAGAAGTTGCTGGCTGTTGTAAGGTGGATTTTTGCCTCTGAATCTCACTTAAGCTTCTGTAAATCATAGGCCAGATTGCTGTACATTTTGTTTTCCTCTGTTTGGAACCGAGGTTTGAAATACATGGCTGTAGTCTGTTCTCCTGTTGGGCTAACAGAAAAGTGGTGCGTGATGTTCTGCAAACTTGTCATCCTCCTCATGTTAGGGCATGGGGTCTTCCACTGGTAACCTGTCTGTGCTGGGCTCTTACCGGTCTGCTGCCTTCAGTGCCTGACACCCTCCTCAGCTTTGCAGCTGGGAATAGTGTCCTTTGTCACCAAGACATTCATTTAACCCTTTGTTCTTGTGCTTAAAACCACACATTTCCATTCACGCTGCGTTCACACCAACCTTTATTTCTGGATTGCTGGGATTGCATTGCTCTGGGTCACTTTTGCTTGTGTGTTTATAGCTGTGTTGTATTAAACTATGGCTTCAGGGCTTGCACTGGATGCCTGTGGGAGGCTTTCTTTGGGTTTTATTTTGTTGCACAGCTTGGCCCTTGGAAGAATGTTGCTTTGAATTCAGCTTGGGAAGATGTCGGGAATGGTGATGAGTATGTCTTACTGCGTTGCCATGTCTCTGAGCACCCAGCTCAAACGTTCAGGGGTTCTGAACCCTTGCCATGTTTGGGATCAGGAAAGAAACTCCCCCTGTGCTAGACAGCAGGGAGCACTGGATTTTTTGCCTCCCTGTGTAGTGTGACCTGTCATCTGCTTCCTTGGATTATCTGGGAATGCCATTTAAGTGCCCTGCAGGGAAGAATCACAACATGGCATGCATACATGGTGTTTCCCCAGAACACTCTGTCTCAACAGCTTTCTCAGCTGTAAAGATCTCTATTTTGTTAGCCCTGGGTGGGTATTCCTTTTGCAAAGCTGTGTCGTTGCTCTTTGAAGCCATGTAAAATTCTAAACCCCGGTGCCAAACCGTTCTGTCTTGGCTCTGAGCAGTATGTGGGGCCTCGTTCAAAATGTTATTGACATGCCACTTTGACTGTGACCATAAGTAAATTCTTAAACCAGCTCTTCTGGGCCCTGGAGAACATAACAGCCTTTCCTAAGCCCTCAAAATATTTCTGTGAAACCCAGAATTAAAAGCAGTGCTTGTCTGAAAATGACCTCAAAAGCTGTTCCTACAGCGTTCAAGTCTTGGTGGTAGAGCATAGATGCACTGGAGCTGCAGGTCTGGAAGACAGAACAGCTGCCCAGGAATTAACTGGAGGATTTTTTGTAAGGTGGATGACATCAATAAACTGAGGTACATTATCTTGCCTTTTCTGAAAAGGAATTAGAGTATTCCAATTTTAGTGGACTGTTTTTCTTCCTCTTCTGGGCTTAACTGCTTACAGATTATACCTTACGCAAATGTTAACTTTGCAACCAAAATGCTTTGCTAAAGGGCACCTTGCTGTGACCAGACTCCACAGCTTTCACAGAAAATAGGTGGGCTCCTGGCATCTGCCTATTGATTCAACTTCATATAATTGAAGTTATATGAAATAATGATTGATATATTTATGTTCTTGCTCATCCTTAATAATGGTGTAAAGTTATTTATTAAATAGGAAGTCTGAAATAACTGTATTAGGAGAGATACTAGAGGAATCCTCTTGAGCATTAAGAAAAATTCCATGTCGTTAAGGATGTGAACGCTGTCTGAAGAGGGCTGAAAGGTTGAGTGTTAATTCCCTTAGAATGCTGTAATTGTTCATGAATGTTTTGTAAGTAGATGCAGCTGATGCCTCCTACAAAATGGAGAACTGGAGAAAGCAGAAATTGAAAATCTACCTGTAGGAACCCCAAAGTGGGGAAGGAAGGAATCTAAAAGCTGCTCCAGAGAGGAAGCAGAAAGATCCAGAAAGCCTTTGCTTGAATTTTTTCTGTCTCTGCTTAGGGCTCTGCCTGCTTTTTTTTCTTTCCAGTCCTGAAGGTCAACGCTGGGATTAGTTTTAAGTACAATAGTTGCTCTGACCCCTTGCAGTTGGGACAAGCTGCAAGTGAATGCATTTTCTGAGTTCATAGCACAGTTCTGTAAGCGCTGTCAGCAAAGAAAGTGCTATTTCCTGGACCCAGGAAGAAATTGGAGATGAAGGAGACAGAACTGGCTGAAAGGCTGCACGAGCATCTTTGGCTTGCATCTGGATACCTGCCAGCTTTTCCTGATCTGTTTGTTGGTAGCGGCACTGGGCAGTGAGTTTGGCTTTGGCTGAGCGTTGCCATGTCCCCAGGGAAATACCAGCCTGGAAACAGAAGCTGTGATCTGTTCCTGGCTTGGTGCAACTGACTGTTATTAATGTGCCACCCCGGACAGTGTATTTGGAGCGTGCATAAATTCCAAACTGAGGCGAATTTTACAAGGTGGAATTAATGAAACATATTCCTCCATAAAAGTAATTGATCCCACAAGGCTCTTGTGACTGTCAATTTTGTGGGGGCAAATTGGAAGAAAGCATTATAACTTGCTGGAAAAGTGAAATTACAGCTCTGGATTTCATGCTCAAGGCAGGTAGAGAGCTGCAACCCAGGCCTGTGAAGCGCTGTCTTCAATGGCTGCTGGCAGGCAATGTGCATCAACTTCACTGCTGGCACTTGACTCCCAGGCTCGGTATAAGGTTTGCTAGACCTCATGGCTTCTCTTTGGAGAAAGGTCAGTTCTCTTCCTACCTGCCATTTTTTTTAGAGATCATCAAGTATGACTTGAGAAAAAAGAAGCAACTGAAAGTTGGCCCTCAGACTCGCGTTCCTCCTCTGCAAAGCTGTAGGTGGCTCTTTTATTCTTCTCTCTTCTTCATAGCTCTTCTTCCTCCTCTCTCTCTATCCAGACAAGAAACAATTGCTTTGAAAGTCTCTAATTGCAGCTTGGGAAGTTCGAGTTGCTATATGTAAGTGATTGCATCTGTACAGTTTGTTACCTGTTTGCATTTCCTTGGCCATGTACTTGAGTGCTTTAGAAAAGTGAGTATCTGGTGGATACAAAAATAACTTGCTCTATGTTATGGATCACGTACATGCTGTGTTGGAAGTCCCGAGTTCCCTGTTGCTCTCCATAATTCATATGGTGACTCAGTGTAGTGTACTTTCTATGCTGTTGCTTTTAAATTACCCATGCAGAAAGAAAACTTAGTGTTGTTTGAGGCTGTACGGTTCACCTAACAAAAAAGTAGCCTCTGCAGCATGTCAAGCTCTTTCGTATATTCCAAATCTACAGCTGGTTTTGACTCAAGTGCTATTACTCAGTGCTGTTTTTATTTAGGCTTGAACGTTGGCGTTTCTGCCTGTCACGTTTCCTGTGAAGACTCTTGTTCAAAAATTGCCTGACTTGCTTTCTATAGCTGTTTTGGTGATCTCTCTGGGTGTCTTGCAGTGTAACTTCCATGCTACTTTAGTCGTCTTTGTCAGCTTGCTTTTTCACTCATGATTCTCCTTTCTCTCCCTTGCTCTTAGTCCCAGCACGGAATCAGCCTTGCTCCTACTCCCTTTCTCATTCCCCTCACCCAGAGCTTGTTCATCCAGCTCCTTCTGTTCCAGTTTCCACTGTGTCTCCGCCATTTTTCTACTCTCTAGGTTAGTTTCCTTTTCACATCTTGCCAGTTTGTCTCTATTTTTTTGCCAATGTCTTGCCCATTCCACCACTCAGCTTCTCTCAGCTTTCAACAGGCTTCCCCCCATATCCTTCCACTGCCTCCCGGCACAGCAAAATGCTTTTTTCCAGGTCCAGTTCAATGACTGTCTGTCAGTCTCTGTGGTTTGTGTGTTAGACAATGATTTCCCCTGATCCTCTTTTGAGGTGTTCCTGCATAGACTTGTTCTGATTGTGGGCACACGTGTGCCTCGCTGGTGCCACTTTGGGGTGGGGAGGGCACAGCCTTGCTCCTTTGCAGATCAGACTGTCCGGGCCACAGAGACAGAACTGACGCTGGGCTGCACGGTGTGGATCACAGCACTGCAGTAGATCCTGCTACTAACCCGACTCCTCTTCCTTGCTTCCCGCTTTTATTAAGACAGAAAGACTGGCTGGATCCCTGCCGGTTAGCCAACATCTTGCAGGGCATCTTCTTTAGCAAAATATCACTGTGTTCTAGTCTGATTTTGCTGCTGCTGCGAAGACAAGTAGGAGGAGGTTGTGTTCCTGGCATGTGCGTGTGGGAAGTGGTGCCGTGTTGCATGTTGGTAGGGGACAGGACACCTCTGCATCTGCATGGAGGGGTCTTTCTGGGTCAGTTCTGCCCAGGAGACACTAGTGCTGGTGGCTACTGGGAGCTGTCAGCAAACTCTCGGCATGCTGGCTGTTGGGCAGAGGTATTTCCTGGCATGGTCCAGTGTGCCCATGAGCAAGAGCCTGCTCTCTTCTTGTGCAACAGGGCCCGGCAGGAGGGAATGGCATTGCAGAAGTCTCTCCCCTCTTCCAGTGCTTTGCCCTTCTCTGCCTGTTTGAGAGGCTGCGCGCTGTCACAGAGAGCAGCTCCCAAAGGACTCCTTGCTAAGCTCATCCCAGAACAGGGAGATGCATCCTAGAGCCAGGTTCCTGTCCTGCACTGAGCGATGCTTCAGAGGGTGCCAGGGTGGCTGTGGAGAAGGGGATGTTTGGTTTGGAGCAGGCCTAAGGAAGGTGGTTGAGATGCACCAGCGCAATGACTTGTACCACAACTCTTCGCTTGTGTTGTTGGGACGTGGAAATAAAGCTGCTCAGGGCATGTGGAATTCATCCCTGCAGCAACAGAAGAGCCCCAGGCCCCTGTTCCCTAGATGATGTTCCGTCATCTGGGATGTGAGACCAGGATTGCCCGGGATTCCTGCATACTGCACAGGATTGCCCAAGATTCCTGCATACTGCTGTGCAGCTACGCAGCCCAGTGGATCTGTGTGCTTTCAACCTGCAGCTGAGGGCATGTTGAATGAGCTTGGGGGTGACCTGTGGATGCAGAGAGACTGAGGAGGTAATTACCCTCTGACCTGGGCAAAAGCACAGTGGCAGCGTGGGGTCTGGAGCCCTGCAGGCAGCCTAGGAGCTCGCTGACCAGCAGACACCCCCAGCAGTGGGTGTCAAGCGGCAGCATGGACGGAATCGATACCTCCTGTGTCGCTGCAGGGTGTTCTCTGCTGCTTTCTTCAATATTCCTCAAATGTGCTCTCCAGTCAGCTCTTGCATCTCCTGAATGAAGTTTCCAAGGTCACATTTGAAGTCTTTTGACCCAAGCACAGTAATTAGTATTGATGTTGTCATCTACTCAGTTTTGCTAATTACCAGTTTTCCCATCAATACATAGGATTATTCTGCTGTCCTTGTGCATGTAGAGCGTCTTTAAATCTGGAGTCATAACTTCTGTTTGCAATGCCAATCTGGAGGAAAAAAAAAAAAATTAAAAAAAAAAGCCAGAATGGTCATATCCTGTGATTCAGCTGCAGCTTTTCATTTCTTCATACAGGATCCAGTTTATGGAAAAGGGAAACTTGGAGAAATTCAAGGACTTGTCCTGGGAATGCTGGACACTTTTAACTATGAACAAGTAAGTTGCATGCGTTTCTGTTCTGTCCGCTGTTGTATTCAGGGATTACTTTTAGCTATCTAGCCTACTACTCTCTCTCATTTGCCATTTCTCTCTGCAGGGCAAAGTAAATGGACATGCAAGTGATTTATATTTGTGTGATTGGGGGCAGGGGAATGAGTTTGTATTGCTGACAGACAGATTGTGAAGGGACTGGCAGGTACATGGTGATGTGAATACCTCTATAGTTCAGTTTTGTGTTAAATGCACTGGAAGGATAAACATCTGCTTTTTCTCTGGCTCACCCTGCAGTTAGGGATTCAAAGGCACCAACCCAGTATGTTCTGTGTTTTTACTGGGTTTTAAATAAGTGCTTTTTAAATTAGGCTGTTTTGCCACTTCCCAATGGTAATGCTGCACTTCCTTTGTCACCTGATGAGATTTCACCTTTATCTCACTCCTGCCTTTCTCTGTCCAGTCTCAAATCCCAGGCAGTCTCCAAATTTCAACAGTTTTCTAAAACTCATTTTCCCCAAAACAGAATGCGTAGTCTTCCTCCAAACTCACCGTCCCTCATGGCACTACCTTCCTAGCTACTGCTCAGGCCTCCATGCAGCAGCATCCAATTTAAAAATAAAATGGGAAATAGCTTTTACTGTAGAGGGCTGAACATAAAGAGCCATTATCTCTGTTTGGGTTCTTGGTAAAGGTCTGCTCTCAGTAGCACAGGTCCTCTGTCATTGCCTGGCAGTTGTCTGGTACAGGCTGCATGTCACATCTGGACTAGGCCAGATGTGAACCACTGGCGCAACCTCCGCAGCCTTTTGTGCATTGCTGCTGTGGAGCATCGATAGATCACGGACCAGAGCACCTCTGCCTGATACCTGTTGTTGCTGAAAGAAGCACTGACCGCTAAAAATGAAGGGTATTTTGTGTTTGGCACTTCAGAAATGGAAATCTCAGTTGGGAAGAACTAGCAGATGAAAAGTTCAGTTGTTTTTTTTTGTATTTTAATTGCAATAGTGCATTTGGGCTTTGATTTTTATCAGCACGTTTCTCCTAAAATGGAGGATGTGAGCAGTAGCTTACCAGGTAGAAGGAAAAAAAGGGGGGTCTGGTATGGAAAATGACAAAATGAGCCTACCATGTCTCTCTTAATGCTCTCTGACAAAAATCAATAACGGACTTATCTATTTAAGAGTGAAAAGGTACTGCCTCCATTAACATGTGATGAAAGGATAAGTATTTTGAAGGCAGTGGCTAGAAAGCATATAAAGAGAAGCAATTTTGTTGGGTTGGTTTTGCTCTTAGTAATCTGCTAAGCTGCTTGTTATGAAGAATTGATCAGTATGGAGTTTCTGCTTCTGGGGATGACAAAATGACCTAGTTATTCTGTATATTGTCTTCCACACAGACCCTTTTAGAGACAACTACGAATCTTTTAAACCATGATCTCCACTGGTCCCTGTGTAACCTAAGAGCTTCTGTCACTAGAGGGCTTACCCCAAAGCAGGATTATTGCTGCATTTGTCTGCAGCAGTACAAAAGAAGGCAAGAAACTGCTGATGAAATCATTGTTTTCAGGTAAAGTTAAGGGGTAAGGTCACAGCTGTGATCATGTTAGTAGTTTTAAAAGGGAAAAAAAAGCAAAAAAAAAAAAAAGGCAAAAAAAAAAAAAGCTACTGGTCTTTGACTTGCACAAGTAATCATATGTATTCCTGTGAGCATGTATACATGCACTGTAAAAGGGCTGGCTCATCAAACCCATCAGAGCCAGCCTTCTTTGCATGCAGCCAGCTCTGTCTCGGCTGGAAAGAATTGCCTTACAGTTCTGTGAGAGCTGTTCAGTAAGCTGTCACTTTATCTGTCATCTCTCCCAGCAGCGCAGTTTGTGCAGTTGCAGCACCCTGGGTTCATTTGCCTGTATTTGTACATCTCAGATCTGCTGCAGCCCTGACTCTGTTGACATCTCTGATATTCCTGTCTGTGAGACCAGGTGGCTGCAAATTAAGACAAAGTCATTATTCCCTTAGTATTATGATCTGTAGCTGTATCAGCAAATGGGCTTCTACTGTTATTTTTGCAAGTCTAGAAATACTACAGGAGGGTGTGGAGGTACGAAGGGAGTGTATGCACTGATCTGTATTTACAGATAAGCAGCCTTGTTTTCCGCTGACCAGCGGTTTCCCCTCCAAAGTGTAGAGCTGTCAGGCTGCCTTACCCTGCTGTCAAGCACCTAGCAGAGTTCTCTTCTCTTTGCAGCTGTGGCCACTTGTACCACTCGCTGTGTCTCCTGAGTAAAGAGTGTGGGACGGTAACCAAAGGCCTGATGAGGTGGATGTGCTATAAATGCAACTCAAGTAACAAGGGAGGAAAACTGAGCGAGAACTTCTCAGAGCTGAAGAAAGGAAGTGGAGCATCCTTGGCACAGGTAAGGTTTGTGGGGCGGTTTCTCTTCAAGCAGACTTTGAGCAGTGCTTATAGACTTCATCACTTTATTCTCATGTCTGTCTTTGCTTCCAGACAAGCCCATGATCAGTAACCGTCAAACAGTATCAGCAGCTAACTAGTCATGTTTATCAATGTCATTTTGTTTTGACGTGGCTATACAGAGCTGTGGAAGTAATGGAAATGTGTTCAGAAGGTCTGGGAACTGCTAGCCAGCGTGAGGGGAAGCTGGATGCCTGCAGCTGATTGCCTGCTAGATGCATCCACCGCTTCGTCTTGATTGTGAGAGCCTGGGATGGGCCCTTGGGGACAGTTCCTTTCAAACTATTTTTAGGTGTGTTTTATATAAAACTTGTATTAAAAGCTGGCGTTTTACTTGTGGCTGGATCGTGGAGCCTCTGTTCTACCTTCCTAACAGGTAACCTGGCTCTGGGTAAAAGATCTGGAATTGATTTGACTCGCTAAGTGCTTGCACAGTGTCTTCAGAAGCTTGTGTGTAAACAAAACCAATGCAGCTGGATTGGGGTGAGAGAACAGATAATTAGTTTGTATTTATTGTCAGTATTTGTGTGCAAGAAGTTTCACCATCCCTAATTCAAACAGAAGTCCAGTCTCAATATACATGCTTCTGTCTTTTCCCTGGCATGGTACTCTGGATTGTAAGCAAAAATGGCAGGTAGCTTGTTGGGATGTCTTCTAGGGATATTGCACCGTGGGGAGCTGAACTCTGCTGCCCCGTGTTCCAGCGAAGGTGGTCACTGATGAGGGTTTGTTCCTACATGCCTCAAGGTACTTTGTGCATTTATCACCGCACAGATGTATGCAAAGCAACATTTTTCCACTTCTGAAACCAAAGTAATTCAATCTTGGAGTACGTTTCTATAGTAGTACTTTAGTTTTCTTCTAGCAGATTATTTCAATTTCTGCCAAATCAATTCCGATCAAAAGATAGCTAACAGCATTAGTCAACTTCCATCAGCTTCTGTATTAACAAAAAAAGAAGCTTCCTGCTTGAAGGGAGACTTGGGGGAAAAGTAATCTCTGAGGAATGTATGGAACACCGTGCAATCTTTGCAGTCAAGTTGTGTTAGTTTTTTATATGGTGACAGACAGAAAAGCTTTCCCAGGAGACTGTAAATCGACTGTGGTCCAATCAGTCTGCTTACAAATGCTCATCAGTTTGTGTACCGCCCTGCTACAGTGAAATATGGATACTGGCTCTAAAGTTAGGCAGATTCAGCAGCGCCATATTTTACCCTCTACACTTCTGCTCCAAAGGGATGTGTGCGAATGGGTGTGACAGGCCAGGTTTAACTTTAAAAGCTAAAGGCAAATTAAGTACTAAAACGACATTCATCGTAAAAGTGCCTGACATTTTACACCAGTGCCTTATAACTTGGTTATCACTGGATTTCTCACAGGCTAGTCAGTCAGAGAACTCTGTGCCTCCCCTTTAATACCAGTCTGGACATACCCCATAGCAGAATGAAGCGGAAAATGCTCCAGATGACATGGGAATGATCGGGGCAGGGAGGAGAAGATGCTTCACTTTATTTAACCCATCCATCTGTAAAAGTGAGGGGCTGGCTGGGCCTCAGGGCTTAAAGGGAGACGTGGAGAGACTGGATGGGGAAGAAAAGGGGTTACAGCACAGATCATCTAGCGCTAGCTAGAAAATGTCGATGCCAAACCATCTGAGAGTGCTGGATGCCTCCCTGCTGTCTGTCACGCGCTCCTGGCAGAGCAGCCCGTCGCTTCCTGCCCCGCACGCAGCCGGCCCAGCAGAGCTTGGCTCTGCTCATCAGAGCCCCGGCACTGCTTCTAGCCCCCCACCTCCTCCTCCTGATGTCCCAGATCCTCTCCAAGTTTGTGATGTTCCTCATTTAAATTATAATATTTAACTGTTGTACTTGCATGTGATTAAACTGTTGTGCAGTCAGATCTTTAAAAAGCTGAATATATTTAGACTTGGCAAAAGACTGTAGAATCTCTCGCTTCTCCAGGAAGTTTGTTTGCTTAACAATTGCTGCTCAGTAGTGTTAATTAACCCTGCGAGGTAACGATTCGTCTGGCCAGGCAGTAGTCTGGAGTTACAGAACAGACAACTTCTTCTGGGGAAAGTGCTGGGAATGTGAGGTGGAGGAGATGGATGTGCGTATTGCCTGGCTCTGCTGGAGCCAAAAGCAGAAGGGTGAGAAGGGTTAGCTGGAGCACAGAAGCGCTGGCTGGAGGCAGGCTGGTGCATGCCAGTATGGCAGGGTTTGGTCTTGTGCAGCCTCACGTAAATTTAAGCGGAGAATTAAGCATGAAAACAGCTAAGCTCCCCACGCTTGTTTTGACTTGACACTGGTCTGTGCAGAATTGAGGTCAGTTTGAAAGGTGCGTTTTCTACAGTAGCCTGGTGGATGATGCACGATGCTGGAGAGAGGAGGTGTGGGCAAGCAAAGGGGATGAAGGAAAGGGGGAGACTTGCAGGGCTCCCCCCACCCTGAGCCACATTCATGTGTTCCCGAGGGTCCTTCTCAGCCTCAGAGGGTCCAAGATAGGACCGGTCACTGGTCTCCAGTGCCACCCCAGGCGCAGAAGGGATTTATTTCTGTTTGTCCCAGGGTTTGTTCAGCCTTTTGGTGCTGCATGCAGTTCTCTGGTGAAGGGCTTCTCTGCGTTCCCTCTCAACTCCCCTGACACCGGGCAGACCCAGAAGTCTCTGTTGGTTAAGCTGCTCTTGCTTCCACAGTTGGTGTTTCTGCAAACAAAGAACAGGAGATCCCAGAGAGAGGTTACGCTGACACAGTTGTGCTTCCAGCCCTGCCTTCCCTAGAGCCTGGAGAGCCAGCTCCAAAGCTTCTGGGACATTTTGCATATAGATCTGTGGGGAAGGTATTTCTTTGCAACCACTTTGAAGACCCTGAAAGCTTAGTCTCTTGGCAAAATCTAATGTGGCTTTTTTTTTTCCATAGTGAAATCTTCAGTTTAGGTATTTATTTTCTTAGCAAGCCTTGAATTAGGAATAGATTCATACTGAGAAATGCCACTGAGCATCTGGAGTGCATTTCACAGTACCAGTTCTGCTCTGCTGAAACAAAGACTGTCACTTTGAATTTTGCAGCGTTGTTGAGATTTATATGTGAAATGACAGCCCAACAGACAGTGTTTTCTTGGTCCTGCTTTGCATGCATGACTTCTGTAGCAATTGCCTTGAAATTGGGGGAGGTGGAGAGATGCCACAAGCCAGCACTGAACCGTTATTGAATCTGGTGATAGCACTTATTTAAATGGAGCCTTGCTGTGATGAGGGCTTGAGACATTCTGCCCCAGCAAAGGGGAATAGCGAGAGAAGGGCAAAGGGGTTTTTCCTCTGGTTTTGCTACCAAAAGTTTGTGCTTTCTGTGTTATCCCCTAAACCTTGCTGTCTTGCCAAGGGTAATCTTCTGTGTCTAAACTGATCATCTTTCCTGTCCTGCTTACCTTATATCGTACCATAAATGAGTGTCAAAAGAAATGAAATTTGTGTGTTTGTGGTGTTTTTTAATCCGATTTAAAACTTGCAATGCTTTTTTGCATTGTGGTGTTTGAAGTTAACTGAGGCATATTAGGTGAAAGCACAATAGCTGGGCTTCTGCCTAAATACGTAAGTGAAATAGTCCTGATATCTTAGTCATTGATCTCCAAAACTAATTTGCCTTGTTACAGTGAGCTAGTTTGTGTTGTCCATTTATTCTGCCAGCCTACATACTAGGGATCGGGGAGGGGAACACAGTCTTGACTCTCGGGCCATAAGCTCTGCAGAAAACGCCATGACCCCCTAAGATGACATGCTCTGGTTATTCCGGGTTTGAGAATGCGTGTGAGTTCTAAGGGCACTGTTGTTAGAGCTGTCCAGATGGCAAATATGTTTTATTCAGGAGTTTAATCCTGTCAAGTCACGCCAGGACGGACAATGAATGTGATCCGTAGTTAATCCCGTTTGTCAGACTCTACCTTTGAGCTCTGTTCTACAGCCTGCCACCAGCATCCCTCTTTGCAACACAGCCTTCCATGAGCTCGGAGCTTCTTGACCGACTTCCACCTGTGAGGTGTTGGTACCATACTGTATCACTGAACTGAGATGTTAAACGTCCCTCTGCAGCATGTCTGGGTGCTTTCTATTGGGTAAGAATGAAGGTTTAGGACTTTTTTTTCGCCAATACTTATTTCAGAGCTAAACAAATGTTACATGACCTCCGTCAACTGGTAGACAGAGCCAATTTTACTGTTTTCAGTGTAATGGTGACCATCAGTTATTATCTTGACTCCCAGCAATGTAAAAATATTCCAAGGGCTTTATAACGTTGAAAATAACCAGGCATGATTTTTCCCCCCCAGAAGACACCAAGCAGATAATTAGCATTTTACACAGTTACAAGACTGTGCATTCCCCTCCGTAGAGAATATTCGCACATACATATTAACTGAGAAAATGCCCCGTCCTTTAGCTTTGGAGTTGTTTTTAATAGTAGATTCCTTAACTTCTTCAACAATGCGTAGGAAATCCATGTGAGGAAGGAACTGGAGACACTTTGTACCATTGGCTTCTCATCAGCAGAACATCTGTGTTTTAAGATTTCTTGTAATATATTGGAAACAAAAGTGATTTAGCTAGAAGAAAACACAGTGCGGGAGTCTTAACTAGCAGCTAGAGGAGGACTGGCGCCGGAGCTAAAACTGAAAATAAAATAGAAATTTAAAAACACTAATTTCAAAAACATAATTATCCTTTAGCAGCTTTTAAATCAAAATTGACTATTTTCTTGGGCTTTTCATAGGTTAGTTTATTCTGTTGAGGTTTTATTTGAGAAAATCAGACTGAATTGTAATTGTTTCCCCTGGCCTTCATATATAGCAATCTGTAGCCTGGCAGAATTTTCCTCTTACTGCCTGCAATCCAAAATCTTGCATTCTAGGACCCGTGAGAGGCTAACACGAAGCAGAGACGGCTGACTT